ACATCTCAGTCCTGTCTACAACATCTGTCTACAACATCTCTGTCCTGTCTACAACATCTCAGTCCTGTCTACAACATCTGTCTACAACATCTCTGCCCTGTCTACAACATCTCTGTCCTGTCTACAACATCTGTCTACAACATCTCTGTCCTGTCTACAACATCTCTGCCCTGTCTACAACATCTCTGTCCTGTCTACAACATCTCTGTCCTGTCTACAACATCTCAGTCCTATCTACAACATCTCAGTCCTGTCTACAACATCTCAGTCCTGTCTACAACATCTCTGTCCTGTCTACAACATCTCTGTCCTGTCTACAACATCTCTGTCCTGTCTACAACATCTCTGTCCTGTCTACAACATCTCTGTCCTGTCTACAACATCTCTGTCCTGTCTACAACATCTCTGCCCTGTCTACAACATCTCTGCCCTGTCTACAACATCTCTGTCCTGTCTACAACATCTCTGTCCTGTCTACAACATCTCTGCCCTGTCTACAACATCTCTGTCCTGTCTACAACATCTCTGTCCTGTCAACAACATTTCTGTCCTGTCTACAACATCTCTGTCCTGTCTACAACATCTCTGTCCTGTCTACAACATCTCTGCCCTGTCTACAACATCTGTCTACCACATCTGTCTACAACATCTGTCTACAACATCTCTGTCCTGTCTCAGTCTTGTCTACAACATCTCTGTCCTGTCTACAACATCCCTACAACATCTCTGTCCTGTCTACAACATCTCTGTCCTGTCTACAACATCTCTGTCCTGTCTACAACATCTGTCTACAACATCTGTCTACAACATCTGTCTACAACATCTCTGTCCTGTCTCAGTCTTGTCTACAACATCTCTGTCCTGTCTCAGTCTTGTCTACAACATCTCTGTCCTGTCTACAACATCTCTGTCCTGTCTACAACATCTGTCTACAACATCTCTGTCCTGTCTACAACATCTCAGTCCTGTCTACAACATCTGTCTACAACATCTCTGTCCTGTCTACAACATCTCTGTCCTGTCTACAACATCTGTCTACAACATCTCTGTCCTGTCTACAACATCTCAGTCCTGTCTACAACATCTGTCTACAACATCTCTGTCCTGTCTACAACATCTCAGTCCTGTCTACAACATCTGTCTACAACATCTCTGCCCTGTCTACAACATCTCTGTCCTGTCTACAACATCTGTCTACAACATCTCTGTCCTGTCTACAACATCTCTGCCCTGTCTACAACATCTCTGTCCTGTCTACAACATCTCTGTCCTGTCTACAACATCTCAGTCCTATCTACAACATCTCAGTCCTGTCTACAACATCTCAGTCCTGTCTACAACATCTCTGTCCTGTCTACAACATCTCTGTCCTGTCTACAACATCTCTGTCCTGTCTACAACATCTCTGTCCTGTCTACAACATCTCTGTCCTGTCTACAACATCTCTGTCCTGTCTACAACATCTCTGCCCTGTCTACAACATCTCTGCCCTGTCTACAACATCTCTGTCCTGTCTACAACATCTCTGTCCTGTCTACAACATCTCTGCCCTGTCTACAACATCTCTGTCCTGTCTACAACATCTCTGTCCTGTCAACAACATTTCTGTCCTGTCTACAACATCTCTGTCCTGTCTACAACATCTCTGTCCTGTCTACAACATCTCTGCCCTGTCTACAACATCTGTCTACCACATCTGTCTACAACATCTGTCTACAACATCTCTGTCCTGTCTCAGTCTTGTCTACAACATCTCTGTCCTGTCTACAACATCCCTACAACATCTCTGTCCTGTCTACAACATCTCTGTCCTGTCTACAACATCTCTGTCCTGTCTACAACATCTGTCTACAACATCTGTCTACAACATCTGTCTACAACATCTCTGTCCTGTCTCAGTCTTGTCTACAACATCTCTGTCCTGTCTCAGTCTTGTCTACAACATCTCTGTCCTGTCTACAACATCTCTGTCCTGTCTACAACATCTGTCTACAACATCTCTGTCCTGTCTACAACATCTCTGCCCTGTCTACAACATCTCTGTCCTGTCTACAACATCTCTGTCCTGTCTCTGTCCTGTCTACAACATCTCTGTCCTGTCTACAACATCTCTGTCCTGTCTACAACATCTCTGTCCTGTCTACAACATCTCTGTCCTGTCTACAACATCTCTGTCCTGTCTACAACATCTCTGCCCTGTCTACAACATCTCTGCCCTGTCTACAACATCTCTGTCCTGTCTACAACATCTCTGTCCTGTCTACAACATCTCTGTCCTGTCTACAACATCCCTACAACATCTCTGTCCTGTCTACAACATCTCTGTCCTGTTTACAACATCTCTGTCCTGTCTACAACATCTGTCTACAACATCTGTCTACAACATCTGTCTACAACATCTCTGTCCTGTCTCAGTCTTGTCTACAACATCTCTGTCCTGTCTCAGTCTTGTCTACAACATCTCTGTCCTGTCTACAACATCTCTGTCCTGTCTACAACATCTCTGTCCTGTCTACAACCTCTCTGTCCTGTCTACAACATCTGTCTACAACATCTCTGTCCTGTCTCAGTCCTGTCTACAACATCCCTACAACATCTCTGTCCTGTCTCATCTCTGTCCTGTCTACAACATCTCTGTCCTGTCTACAACATCTCTGTCCTGTCTACAACATCTCTGTCCTGTCTACAACATCTCTGTCCTGTCTACAACATCTCTGTCCTGTCTACAACATCTCTGTCCTGTCTACAACATCTCTGCCCTGTCTACAACATCTCTGTCCTGTCTACAACTTCTCTGTCCTGTCTACAACATCTGTCTACAACATCTCAGTCCTGTCTACAACATCTCTGTCCTGTCTACAACATCTCTGTCCTGTCTACAACATCTCTACAACATCTGTCTACAACATCTCTGTCCTGTCTACACCATCTCTATAACATCTGTCTACGACATCTCTACAACATCTGTCTACAACATCTGTCTACAACATCTCTGTACTGTCTACAACATCTCTGTCCTGTCTATAACATCTCTACAACATCTGTCTACAACATCTCTGTCCTGTCTACAACATCTCTGTCCTGTCTACAACATCTCTGTCCTGTCTACAACATCTCTACAACATCTGTCTACAACATCTCTGTCCTGTCTACAACATCTCTGTCCTGTCTACAACATCTCTACAACATCTGTCTACAACATCTCTGTCCTGTCTACAACATCTCTGTCCTGTCTACAACATCTCAGTCCACACGTCCTGTGTCGACAATTGTGCACTGTCCGGCCTCCGGCCACAAATAGACCACATGCGACGCATCAAAGGATACAAAGACTTACTACACAAGACATGGATTAATGTCCCCCATTTGCCCCCCCCCCCACTTACCACTGGAATAAAGAATCGATACGAGGGCCACCATCAGTTTGTAAGACGTCACTGACTTGTCGGTTAGACGTCACTGACTTGTCTGTAAGACGTCACTGACTTGTCTGTAAGACGTCACTGACTTGTCGGTTAGACGTCACTGACTTGTCTGTAAGACGTCACTGACTTGTCGGTTAGACGTCACTGACTTGTCTGTAAGACGTCACTGTCTTGCCTATAAGACGTCACTGTCTTGCCTGTAAGACGTCGTGTTCCAGGTCAAAGAGTGACTTGTCTTTTCTTGTCTAGTTCTCTCCCTTTGATCTCAGGTCGCCCTAGAGTTGTCTCCCATCTATAATTAAGTCATGATGGAAAACTGTCTATCAAAGCCACACGCGAGCTTTTATTTAATGTTTGTACAGTTTTGTGTGACGATGGTACAGTTTTGTGTGACAGTTTTACGTGACGCTGGTACAGTTTTGTGTGACAGTTTTACGTGACGCTGGTACAGTTTTGTGTGACACTGGTAAAGTTTTGTGTGACACTGGTACAGTTTTGTGTGACACTGGTACAGTTGACCATTATAAAATGTATTTAGAATTAATTATCAAAATTTTCTACACCATCAACACCAGCAGCCACATCATCAACTTCACCATCAACAACAACACCACCATTACCACCAGCCACACCAACTACACCACCACCAGCCACGCCATCTTGACCACATTCTACTTGCTATTTTAGTATTTGTTTTCATGCTCATTAATGTATTTCCCCCTCCCCCACCGCCCCTACACACTGCCCATCTTTTGTTATTGAGAAACATACCAAGCTATCCCAACATACCAAGCTATCCCAACATACCAAGCTATCCCAACATACCAAGCTATCCCAACATACCACGCTATCCCAACATACCAAGCTATCCCAACATACCAAGCTATCCCAACATACCAAGCTATCCCAACATACCAAGCTATCCCAACATACCAAGCTATCCCAACATACCAAACTATCCCAACATACCAAGCTATGCCAACATACCAAGCTATCCCAACATACCAAGCTATCCCAACATACCAAGCTATCCCAACATACCAAGCTATACCAAGCTATCCCAACATACCAAGCTATCCCAACATACCAAGCTATACCAAGCTATCCCAACATACCAAGCTATCCCAACATACCAAGCTATCCCATCATACCAAGCTATCCCAACATACCAAGCTATACCAAGCTATCCCAACATACCAAGCTATCCCAAGCTATCCCAACATACCAAGCTATCCCAACATACCAAGCTATCCCAACATACCAAGCTATACCAAGCTATCCCAACATACCAAGCTATCCCAACATACCAAGCTTTACCAAGCTATCCCAACATACCAAGCTATCCCAACATACCAAGCTATCCCAACATACCAAGCTATACCAAGCTATCCCAACATACCAAGCTATCCCAACATACCAAGCTATCCCAACATAGCCCTTGTGTCATGTAGCCCTTGTGTCGTGTAGCCCTTGTATCGAGAAGCCCTTGGGTCGTGTAGCCCTTGTGTCGTGTAGCCCTTATGTCATATAGCCCTTGTGTCATGTAGCCCTAACCTGTCAACCGTCCACCCCCAGGTGCGACACTGAAGCAGACGGCAGCTTGACCTTGCACTACCACAGCTCAAGGTGTGGCTACCATCCTCTGGTCAAAGGTGGGTTGTGGTCATCTGGTTGTGGTCATCTGGTGGTGGGTTGTGGTCATCTGGTTGTGGTCATCTGGTTGTGGTCATCTGGTGGGTTGTGGTCATCTGGTTGTGGTCATCTGGTGGGTTGTGGTCATCTGGTGGTGGGTTGTGGTCATTTGGTGGGTTGTGGTCATCTGGTTGTGGTCATCTGGTTGTGGTCATCTGGTGGGTTGTGGTCATCTGGTTGTGGTCATCTGGTTGTGGTCATCTGGTGGGATGTGGTCATCTGGTGGTGGGTTGTGTTCATCTGGTGGGTTGTGGTCATCTGGTTGTGGTCATCTGGTTGTGGTTATTTGGTGGCGGGTTGTGGTCATCTGGTTGTGGTCATCTGGTTGTGGTTATTTGGTGGTGGGTTGTGGTCATCTGGTGGTGGGTTGTGGTCATCTGGTGGGTTGTGGTCATCTGGTTGTGTTCATCTGGTTGTGGTCATCTGGTGGTGGGTTGTGGTCATCTGGTGGGTTGTGGTCATCTGGTGGGTTGTGGTCATCTGGTTGTGGTCATCTGGTTGTGGTCATCTGGTGGTGGGTTGTGGTCATCTGGTGGGTTGTGGTCATCTGGTGGGTTGTGGTCATCTGGTGGGTTGTGGTCATCTGGTGGTGGGTTGTGGTCATCTGATGGGTTGTGGTCATCTGGTGGTGGGTTGTGGTCATCTGGTGGGTTGTGGTCATCTGGTGGGTTGTGGTCATCTGGTTGTGGTCATCTGGTTGTGGTCATCTGGTGGTGGGTTGTGGTCATCTGGTGGGTTGTGGTCATCTGGTGGGTTGTGGTCATCTGGTGGGTTGTGGTCATCTGGTGGTGGGTTGTGGTCATCTGATGGGTTGTGGTCATCTGGTGGTGGGTTGTGGTCATCTGGTGGGTTGTGGTCATCTGGTGGGTTGTGGTCATCTGGTGGGTTGTGGTCATCTGGTGGGTTGTGGTCATCAGGTGGTGGGTTGTGGTCATCTAGTGGGTTGTGGTCATCTGGTTGTGGTCATCTGGTGGGTTGTGGTCATCTGGTGGGTTGTGGTCATCTGGTTGTGGTCATCTGGTTGTGGTCATCTGGTGGTGGGTTGTGGTCATCTGGTGGGTTGTGGTCATCTGGTGGGTTGTGGTCATCTGGTAGTGGGTTGTGGTCATCTGGTGGTGGGTTGTGGTCATCTGGTTGTGGGTTGTGGTCATCTGGTGGGTTGTGGTCATCTGGTGGGTTGTGGTCATCTGGTGGTGGCTTGTGGTCATCTGGTGGGTTGTGGTCATCTGGTGGTGGGTTGTGGTCATTTGGTGGGTTGTGGTCATCTGGTGGGTTGTGGTCATCTGGTGGGTTGTGGTCATCTGGTGGTGGGTTGTGGTCATCTGGTGGGTTGTGGTCATCTGGTGGTGGGTTGTGGTCATCTGGTGGGTTGTGGTCATCTGGTGGGTTGTGGTCATCTGGTAGTGGGTTGTGGTCATCTGGTGGTGGGTTGTGGTCATCTGGTGGTGGGTTGTGGTCATCTGGTGGGTTGTGGTCATCTGGTGGGTTGTGGTCATCTGGTGGTGGGTTGTGGTCATCTGGTGGGTTGTGGTCATTTGGTGGGATGTGGTCATCTGGTTGTGGTCATCTGGTTGTGGTCATCTGGTGGTGGGTTGTGGTCATCTGGTGGGTTGTGGTCATCTGGTGGGTTGTGGTCATCTGGTTGTGGTCATCTGGTTGTGGTCATCTGGTGGTGGGTTGTGGTCATCTGGTGGGTTGTGGTCATCTGGTGGTGGGTTGTGGTCATCTGGTGGTGGGTTGTGGTCATCTGGTGGGTTGTGGTCATTTGAAGGTGGGTTGTGGTCATCTGGTGGGTTGTGGTCATCTGGTGGGTTGTGGTCATCTGGTAGTGGGTTGTGGTCATCTGGTGGTGGGTTGTGGTCATCTGGTGGTGGGTTGTGGTCATCTGGTGGGTTGTGGTCATCTGGTGGGTTGTGGTCATCTGGTGGTGGGTTGTGGTCATCTGGTGGGTTGTGGTCATTTGGTGGGATGTGGTCATCTGGTTGTGGTCATCTGGTTGTGGTCATCTGGTGGTGGGTTGTGGTCATCTGGTGGGTTGTGGTCATCTGGTGGGTTGTGGTCATCAGGTGGTGGGTTGTGGTCATCTAGTGGGTTGTGGTCATCTGGTTGTGGTCATCTGATGGGTTGTGGTCATCTGGTGGGTTGTGGTCATCTGGTGGGTTGTGGTCATCTGGTAGTGGGTTGTGGTCATCTGGTTGTGGGTTGTGGTCATCTGGTGGGTTGTGGTCATCTGGTGGGTTGTGGTCATCTGGTGGTGGCTTGTGGTCATCTGATGGCTTGTGGTCATCTGGTGGGTTGTGGTCCTCTGGTGGGTTGTGGTCATCTGGTGGGTTGTGGTCATCTGGTGGGTTGTGGTCATCTGATAGTGGGTTGTGGTCATCTGGTGGTGGGTTGTGGTCATCTGGTTGTGGGTTGTGGTCATCTGGTGGGTTGTGGTCATCTGGTGGTGGGTTGTGGTCATCTGGTGGGTTGTGGTCATCTGGTGGGTTGTGGTCATCTGGTGGGTTGTGGTCATCTGGTGGTGGGTGGTGGTCATCTGGTTGTGGGTTGTGGTCATCTGGTGGGTTGTGGTCATCTGGTGGGTTGTGGTCATCTGGTGGGTTGTGGTCATCTGGTGGTGGGTGGTGGTCATCTGGTGGTGGGTTGTGGTCATCTGGTGGGTTGTGGTCATCTGGTGGTGGGTTGTGGTCATTTGGTGGTGGGTTGTGGTCATCTGGTGGGTTGTGGTCATCTGGTGGGTTGTGGTCATCTGGTAGTGGGTTGTGGTCATCTGGTGGTGGGTTGTGGTCATCTGGTGGTGGGTTGTGGTCATCTGGTGGGTTGTGGTCATCTGGTGGGTTGTGGTCATCTGGTGGTGGGTTGTGGTCATCTGGTGGGTTGTGGTCATCTGGTGGGTTGTGGTCATCTGGTTGTGGTCATCTGGTGGGTTGTGGTCATCTGGTGGGTTGTGGTCATCTGGTGGGTTGTGGTCATCTGGTAGTGGGTTGTGGTCATCTGGTGGTGGGTTGTGGTCATCTGGTTGTGGGTTGTGGTCATCTGGTGGGTTGTGGTCATCTGGTGGTGGGTTGTGGTCATCTGGTGGGTTGTGGTCATCTGGTGAGTTGTGGTCATTTGGTGGGTTGTGGTCATCTGGTGGTGGGTGGTGGTCATCTGGTGGTGGGTTGTGGTCATCTGGTGGTGGGTGGTGGTCATCTGGTGGTGGGTTGTGGTCATCTGGTGGGTTGTGGTCATCTGGTGGTGGGTTGTGGTCATTTGATGGTGGGTTGTGGTCATCTGGTGGTGGGTTGTGGTCATCTGGTTGTGGGTTGTGGTCATCTGGTGGGTTGTGGTCATCTGGTGGTGGGTTGTGGTCATCTGGTGGGTTGTGGTCATCTGGTGAGTTGTGGTCATCTGGTGGGTTGTGGTCATCTGGTGGTGGGTTGTGGTCATCTGGTTGTGGGTTGTGGTCATCTGGTGGGTTGTGGTCATCTGGTGGGTTGTGGTCATCTTGTGGTGGGTTGTGGTCATCTGGTGGGTTGTGGTCATCTGGTGGGTTATGGTCATCTGGTTGTGGTCATCTGGTGGGTTGTGGTCATCAGGTGGTGGGTTGTGGTCATCTGGTTGTGGGTTGTGGTCATCTGGTTGTGGTCATCTGGTGGGTTGTGGTCATCTGGTGGTGGGTTGTGGTCATCTGGTGGTCTGTTGTGGTCATCTGGTGGTCTGTTTTGGTCATCTGGTGGTGGGTTGTGGTCATCTGGTGGGTTGTGGTCATCTGGTTGTGGTCATCTGGTGGTGGGTTGTGGTCATCTGGTGGGTTGTGGTCATCTGGTGGTGGGTTGTGGTCATTTGGTGGTGGGTTGTGGTCATCAGTTGGGTTATGGTCATCTGGTGGGTTATGGTCATCTGGTAGTGGGTTGTGGTCATCTGGTGGTGGGTTGTGGTCATCTGGTGGTGGGTTGTGGTCATCTGGTGGGTTGTGGTCATCTGGTGGGTTGTGGTCATCTGGTGGTGGGTTGTGGTCATCTGGTGGGTTGTGGTCATCTGGTGGGTTGTGGTCATCTGGTTGTGGTCATCTGGTGGGTTGTGGTCATCTGGTGGGTTGTGGTCATCTGGTGGGTTGTGGTCATCTGGTAGTGGGTTGTGGTCATCTGGTTGTGGGTTGTGGTCATCTGGTGGGTTGTGGTCATCTGGTGGTGGGTTGTGGTCATCTGGTGGGTTGTGGTCATCTGGTGGGTTGTGGTCATCTGGTGGGTTGTGGTCATCTGGTGGTGGGTGGTGGTCATCTGGTGGTGGGTTGTGGTCATCTGGTGGGTTGTGGTCATCTGGTGGTGGGTTGTGGTCATTTGATGGTGGGTTGTGGTCATCTGGTGGGTTGTGGTCATCTGGTGGGTTGTGGTCATCTGATAGTGGGTTGTGGTCATCTGGTGGTGGGTTGTGGTCATCTGGTGGTGGGTTGTGGTCATCTGGTGGGTTGTGGTCATCTGGTGGGTTGTGGTCATCTGGTGGTGGGTTGTGGTCATCTGGTGGGTTGTGGTCATCTGGTGGGTTGTGGTCATCTGGTTGTGGTCATCTGGTGGGTTGTGGTCATCAGGTGGTGGGTTGTGGTCATCTGGTTGTGGGTTGTGGTCATCTGGTTGTGGTCATCTGGTGGGTTGTGGTCATCTGGTGGTGGGTTGTGGTCATCTGGTTGTGGTCATCTGGTGGTGGGTTGTGGTCATCTGGTTGTGGTCATCTGGTGGTCTGTTGTGGTCATCTGGTGGTGGGTTGTGGTCATCTGGTGGGTTGTGGTCATCTGGTGGTGGGTTGTTGTCATCTGGTGGTGGGTTGTGGTCATCTGGTGGGTTGTGGTCATCTGGTGGGTTGTGGTCATCTGGTGGTGGGTTGTTGTCATCTGGTGGTGGGTTGTGGTCATCTGGTGGGTTGTGGTCATCTGGTAGTGGGTTGTGGTCATCTGGTGGGTTGTGGTCATCTGGTGGTGGGTTGTGGTCATCTGGTGGGTTGTGGTCATCTGGTGGGTTGTGGTCATCTGGTGGTGGGTTGTGGTCATCTGGTGGGTTGTGGTCATCTGGTGGTGGGTTGTGGTCATCTGGTGGGTTGTGGTCATCTGGTGGTGGGTTGTGGTCATCTGGTGGGTTGTGGTCATCTGGTTGTGGTCATCTGGTGGGTTGTGGTCATCTGGTTGTGGTCATCTGGTTGTGGTCATCTGGTGGTGGGTTGTGGTCATCTGGTGGGTTGTGGTCATCTGGTGGTGGGTTGTGGTCATCTAGTTGTGGTCATATTGTGGTCGGTTGTGGTCATCTGGTGGGTTGTGGTCATCTGGTGGGTAGTGGTTATCTGGTGGGTTGTGGTCATCTGGTTGTGGTCATCTGGTGGGTTGTGGTCATCTGGTGGGTTGTGGTCATCTGGTTGTGGGTTGTGGGCATCTGGTGGGTTGTGGTCATCTGGTGGGTTGTGGTCATCTGGTTGTGGTCATATTGTGGTGGGTTGTGGTCATCTGGTAGTGGGTTGTGGTCATCTGGTGGGTTGTGGTCATCTGCAAACAATGACCAACTCTATAAACTCAAGGTACAGGCGATGACCTACTCTATAAACTCAAGGTGCAGACTATGACCTACACTACCTGATATGCTGTGTGCTGCTAACATTTCTTAATGCGTCATCCCAACTCTCCAGTTGAAAAACAATTTTCTTCTACTCAACAAATTATTCCAATCAAGCCATCGACCGCAGACATTAGCTACTTCCATTTGTTCAAATCTTCTTTGGTGAATCCTTTTTCAGAACCACGATCCTGAGCGCACACTGAAAATGGGTTATTTCCCCCCTCCCCCAACATTATCTCCCTTATTTCCATTGCTTCTCTCCCTTGTCTTGTCTCCCACAAGAAAAAACAAAACAGATTGGTGTCACCTTGGTTGCTGACCTGGAGACCGCTGTCTTCACAAAGTCTGCTGATAATGTCTTCACAATGTCTGCTGGTAATGTCTTGACTAAAGTTGTTACATTTGACCAAAATTTGTAATGGTCACATTGACCTCTGGTGTCACGTGGTGTCACGTGACCGCTGATGTCACGTGACATCTTGTGACCTATATTGTCACGTGACCTCTCCCGTTCATTGCTTGCTCCCCCCCCCCCCCAGGTCTGCTGTCGGCCGTGGCGCGTGAAATCTTCAACCAGAAGTGTGAGATCACGTTCGTGAGCAGCAGCCGTGACCAGGTGGACCAGGGCAGGGACCAGGAGCACGTGATCTTCCGCGTGACAGTGGCAAGGGCTCTGGACAAAAGTTTGTCGCTGGAGAGTCATCAGTCAGATGACGCCACGAGTCAGCACAACCACGACGACCCCATGATGTGAGTACTTATAAACGTGCTGGTAGAACTAGACTCTGACTCCATATTAAACCAGACTCTGACTCCATATAACACCAGACTCTGACTCTATAAAACACCAGACTGTGACTCCATATAAAACCAGATTGTGACTCCATATTAAATCAGATTGTGACTCCATATTAAATCAGACTGTGACTCCATATTAAACCAGATTGTGACTCCATATTAAACCAGACTGTGACTCCATATTAAACCAGATAGTGACTCCATATTAAACCAGACTGTGACTCCATATCAAACCAGATTGTGACTCCATATTAAACCAGACTGTGACTCCATATTAAACCAGACTGTGACTCCATATTAAACCAGACTGTGACTCCATATCAAACCAGATAGTGACTCCATATTAAACCAGATTGTGACTCTGTATTAAACCAGACTGTGACTCCATATAAAACCAGACTGTGACTCTATATTAAACCAGATTGTGACTCCATATTAAACCAGATTGTGACTCCATATTAAACCAGATTGTGACTCCATATTAAACCAGACTGTGACTCCATATTAAACCAGATAGTGACTCCATATTAAACCAGACTGTGACTCCATATCAAACCAGATTGTGACTCCATATTAAACCAGATTGTGACTCCATATTAAACCAGATTGTGACTCCATATTAAACCAGACTGTGACTCCATATTAAACCAGATAGTGACTCCATATTAAACCAGACTGTGACTCCATATCAAACCAGATTGTGACTCCATATTAAACCAGACTGTGACTCCATATTAAACCAGATAGTGACTCCATATTAAACCAGATTGTGACTCCATATTAAACCAGATTGTGACTCCATATTAAACCAGACTGTGACTCCATATTAAACCAGATAGTGACTCCGTATTAAACCAGACTGTGACTCCATATAAAACCAGACTGTGACTCCATATTAAACCAGATTGTGACTCCATATTAAACCAGACCGTGACTCCATATTAAACCAGATAGTGACTCCATATAAAACCAGACTGTGACTCCATATTAAACCAGACCGTGACTCCATATTAAACCAGATAGTGACTCCATATTAAACCAGACTGTGACTCCATATTAAACCAGATTGTGACTCCATATTAAACCAGATTGCGACTCTGTATTAAACCAGACTGTGACTCCATATTAAACCAGATTGTGACTCCATATTAAACCAGATTGTGACTCCATATTAAACCAGACTGTGACTCCATATTAAACCAGACTGTGACTCCATATAAAACCAGACTGTGACTCCATATTAAACCAGACTGTGACTCCATATTAAACCAGATTGTGACTCCATATTAAACCAGATTGTGACTCCATATTAAACCAGGCTGTGACTCCATGTAAAACCAGATTGTGACTCTGTATAAGACCAGACTGGACAAAAACCTTCTAAGTGTCTAAAATCTAGTGCCAGAAAAACCCAATTAAAATAAGATTACGGCGCCTGGGGTGGGTTGAGGGTGGGGTGAGTGGGGGGGGGGGGGGGGTATGTTCAGACTTGTCCGGTGTGGTACACAGAGGTCATTGTGTGACGTCACCTCTGATGGTGAGGTAAGTAAAACGAGAAAGATTTCAAAGTTAAAAAAAAAAAACATGGAGTCGTTTAATGCCGAGATGGACGTGGAAGTGATTGTGTGTAGGTGTGATTGTTTGATTGTGTGTGGGTGTGATTGATTGTGTGTGGGTGTGTGTGATTGTTTGATTGTGTGTGTGTGGGTGTGATTGTTTGATTGTGTGTGTGTGTGATTGTTTGATTGTGTGTGGGTATGTGTGATTGTTTGATTGTGTGTGGGTGTGTGTGATTGTGGGCTAAGTTGCGAGTATCGTTTGGTTATTGGTTTGTGTGTGTGTGTGTGTGCCTCAAGTATTTCCCTACAGAATGTCACATGCCCATATAGTCACATATTAGGTAATGTCAAGTTTCACATAATGTCACATGTCACGTAATATCACATATCACATAATGTCACATACCACATAATGTCACATGCAACATAATGTCACATGTAACGTAATGTCACAAGTCACGTAATGTCGTATGTCACATAATGTCACATGTCACGTAATGTCACATGTCACAAAACGTGACGTTTTCTCCCCAGACCAGCCGTGACCTTGAACAAGGACCAGTTCGCCACAGCCTTCCCCTACCACCTGATCTTTGACCAGACTCTCCGGCTCCGGCAGTACGGCCGGAGCGTGGCCCGGCTCTCCCCCGTCCAGCTCAGGGAGGGCATCCTGGTGACGTCAGCATTCCGCATCCTCTACCCCCGGGTCAGCTTCACTGTCGACCACATCCGGCGCTTCATCAACGCCATCTTCATCCTCTCTGTGGGCCCAGGGGAGACGGGCGATGGGGACAACGCCTTCAGCATGAAAGGTGGGTGCTAGGTGGGTGCTACATGAAAGGTGGGTGCTACATGAAAGGTGGGTGCTACGTGAAAGGTGGGTGCTACGTGAAAGGTGGGTGCTACATGAAAGGTGGGTGCTACATGAAAGGTGGGTGCTACGTGAAAGGTGGGTGCTACATGAAAGGTGGGTGCTACGTGAAAGGTGGGTGCTACATGAAAGGTGGGTGCTACGTGAAAGGTGGGTGCTACATGAAAGGTGGGTGCTACGTGAAAGGTGGGTGCTACATGAAAGGTGGGTGCTACATGAAAGGTGGGTGCTACGTGAAAGGTGGGTGCTACATGAAAGGTGGGTGCTACGTGAAAGGTGGGTGCTACATGAAAGGTGGGTGCTACGTGAAAGGTGGGTGCTACATGAAAGGTGGGTGCTACGTGAAAGGTGGGTGCTACATGAAAGGTGGGTGCTACGTGAAAGGTGGGTGCTACAACTCCCAGCATGAAAGGTGGGTGCTACGTGAAAGGTGGGTGCTACATGAAAGGTGGGTGCTACATGAAAGGTGGGTGCTACATGAAAGGTGGGTGCTACATGAAAGGTGGGTGCTACATGAAAGGTGGGTGCTACATGAAAGGTGGGTGCTACGTGAAAGGTGGGTGCTACATGAAAGGTGGGTGCTACATGAAAGGTGGGTGCTACATGAAAGGTGGGTGCTACAACTTTTAGACACAACATCCCTGAGACGTCTTTAAATCTCACACAAGAGCTCTGATAATTCAGCCCATTAGCAGCAGATGTTATATGCAGGAGATTCTTAGAAAAAAGTTCTGCGACTTGAATGCTTCGCCTACACGAGACAGTTGATGTAATCTTCCCCTCATCTAATGTGACCTGAATAATTTACGTTAAGGACACGTGTCCTTGTGGGTAGGTCGCAGGCAGCCCAACCCTCAATTGACCCAATCGAGAATGTTCTAGAAATTATTCGAAAGGCCCATCAAATATTTAAAAAATCATATACGATGTTGTTAAAAACCTGACTGTTTGAGTTTTGATGAACTTTTCTTAAGATTGGATGAATTTGATGTTTGAGTATTTTCGGTAACCAAACAAAATTTACTCACACAAAGCCAAAAACAATTTGTTTACATTTTATCTCTGAAAATTTACTAGGCAATGTGGTCTAAAACGGTATAATTTGATTGGAATATTTTATCGGCAAAGTTTTGAGAACAAATGACCAGGAACTGGTGTTGTCGGAATATCGATCTCCAAGTTCCTGTACAACCAATCGATGATTGTCTTACGAAAGTCAAACTTGAGCCTATAATTTAGCCTTGATGAAAATAAATAGAAATGTTGCCTTTAACTCAAAATATTTCCATGTTCTTTACATTTGCATCTTTAATACCATTGATACTTAAAATGTAAAATTTTTGACATTTTTTTTAAAGCCAAAGTTGTTTTGTTTTAAGCCGCCATGAAGACAAACTTGACAAAAACGACATTTTTTATGCATGTCAACAATAACGACGGAAGAATTCCCTTTGATGTCCATTAACCAATCAAATACCTTGCTCAGGTCAGATGATCTGGATGGCCGACACGCAACTGATGATTTTCATTGGCTCGCCGCGTCTGACGTCACTGAAGGAGATGAAACGGATGAACGTGTACATGGCCGACATCCCGCTCTATGACGTCACCAGGGAGATGGTCCTGCTCTACCAGCAGAGGAGCGCCGAGATCGACATCACGTGAGTCCACGTCACCGTCACTTAGGATGGCGTCACGGTAGCTTGTGATGACGTCATGTGAGCTTTTGTTGGCGTCACTTGAAACGTGAAGGTCGGTGTGTACCAACCCCTAATGTTCTAGAACTGACCTTGAGCTCATGACCTTGAACACGTGAGCCTGTCCTCTATTTGTGACAGACGACCTTCACATTGTGACAGTTTGTGCAGTGTGAGTAGAGTCAGCGCTGATCAATGCAGGTGGACTATTGGCACGTGCAATTCACTTTGTGCATGTACCTTTGATCCCAGTTTATGGTGATGAGAAAAACATTGATTGCCTCAATCTTTAGAAAAACATTGATTGCCTCAATCTTTAGTTAAGTAGTCATTCGTTCATTAAAATCGGATTCAAATAGTAAGCCTATTGTAGTACAAATATACTGTAACTGTTACAGTACCGTATGAATAAAATCAATGTGTAAACTTTTATACACTTTAAGATATATAATTAAAGGATGAAGAAGTGCAATTAGCACTTTAGTATCATCTGTGTACACACGTACACCCCTATCTGTGTACTTTACTTGTGTACTCTCAACTTTACTCATAGCAATAATAACATGTGGCCAACCGCAGCGTTAGGGTATCACGTAATATTTGATCATGTGATCAAATGTATATTTCATCACCTGATTTGACATTCGATCACGTGACCAAACATTTGATCACGTGACCTGACGTTTGATTACGTGACCTGACATTTGACCACGTGACTTGACATTTCATCACGTGACCTGGCATTTGACCGCGTGACCTGACATTTGACCATGTGACCTGACATTTGATAACGTGACCTGACATTTGATCACGTGACCTGGCATTTGATAACGTGACTTGACATTTGATAACGTGACCTGACATTTGACCACGTGACTTGACATTTGACCACGTGACCTGCCACGTGTTCCAGGAAAGAGCTGGACGAGACGACGGCTGAGTTGAAGAGAATGTCACGTGACCTTGAGCTGGAGAAACAGAAGACAGAGAAGCTGCTGTACCAGATGTTGCCGGAGAAGGTGGCCAACCAGCTCAAGAATGGCCAGGAAGTTGAGGCAGGTAGGTGGCCAACCATTCCAAGAATGGCCATGTAGTGGTAGGTGGCCAACCAGCTCAAGAATGGCCAGGTCTCAGTTCTATTATTCCCTAGAACGAGACCTAGCCATCAGTCACGTGATATGCTTTGGAGATGATTAAATCCAATTTTTCAGTTGCTTGATTAGGTGTGGGGTTGGGTCCACAGAAATGTCTAGCTTGACTTAGGTGTGGGGTTGGTGTCTAGAGACATGATGTCTAGCTTGACTTAGGTGTGGGGTTGGTGTCTAGAGACATGATGTCTAGCTTGACTTAGGTGTGGGGTTGGGTCTGGAGAAATGTTTAGCTTGACTTAGGTGTGGGGTCTAGAGAAATGTTTAGCTTGACTTAGGTGTGGGGTTGGGTCTAGCTTGACTTAGGTGTGGGGTCTAGAGAAATGTCTAGCTTGACTTAGGTGTGGGGTTGGGTCTAGAGAAATTTTTAGCTTGACTTAGGTGTGGGGTTGGTGTCTAGAGACATGATGTCTAGCTTGACTTAGGTGTGGGGTCTAGAGAAATGTCTAGCTTGACTTAGGTGTGGGGTTGGGTCTAGCTTGACTTAGGTGTGGGGTCTAGAGAAATGTCTAGCTTGACTTAGGTGTGGGGTTGGGTCTAGAGAAATTTTTAGCTTGACTTAGGTGTGGGGTTGGTGTCTAGAGACATGATGTCTAGCTTGACTTAGGTGTGGGGTCTAGAGAAATGTCTAGCTTGACTTAGGTGTGGGGTTGGTGTCTAGAGACATGATGTCTAGCTTGACTTAGGTGTGGGGTTGGTGTCTAGAGAAATGTCTAGCTTGACTTAGGTGTGGGGTTGGTGTCTAGAGACATGATGTCTAGCTTGACTTAGGTGTGGGGTTGGTGTCTAGAGACATGATGTCTAGCTTGACTTAGGTGTGGGGTCTAGAGAAATGTCTAGCTTGACTTAGGTGTGGGGTTGGGTCTGGAGAAATGTCTAGCTTGACTTAGGTGTGGGGTTGGGTCTGGAGAAATGTCTAGCTTGACTTAGGTGTGGGGTTGGGTCTGGAGAAATGTCTAGCTTGACTTAGGTGTGGGGTTGGGTCTGGAGAAATGTCTAGCTTGACTTAGGTGTGGGGTTGGGTCTGGAGAAATGTCTAGCTTGACTTAGGTGTGGGGTTGGGTCTGGAGAAATGTCTAGCTTGACTTAGGTGTGGGGTTGGGTCCAGAGATATGTCTAGCTTGACTTATCTGAGAGCCGCCCCCAACCCTGTTAGATATCTACCTGCTTTTATCTGATAAACTGTGGGGGGGGGGGGGGGGGGTAGAGCCCTCACAAGTGTGGCCAGATACAGGTTGACGGTGCTTGTCATATTCGTAATCTCGTAATTGAAGAGCTTCAACTGCGGGCTGTTATGTGATTTTAAATGTGGATCGTTTGCTGTGAAAGTGGCGTGTGCTCAGGGTGGATTGGGTGGGTGGGGGTGGGCTGGGGGGTCAAGGTTACTGTTAAATACCAGGTGGTTTTTTAAACTTTTGTTTCATGCTCGGTTTTATTCTTTTACACTTAATGTTTGGTTCAAGTCCTATGTTTAACTACGTGATGTTTAACGTTAATCCACGTGATGTATAACGTTAAATCACGTGATGTCTAACGTTAAACCACGTGATGTCTAGTGTAAAACCACGTGATGTTTAACCCCATACTGTTGTGTCCGGTCCAGAGAAGTTCGACCAAGTGACCGTCCTCTTCAGCGACATCGTCAACTTCACGACCATCGCTGCAGCCAGCTCGCCACTGGACGTGGTCAACATGCTCAACGACCTCTACCACAGGTTCGACCTTCAGACCAACGAGTACAGCGTCTATAAGGTACATTCACACTTAACACATCTTTAAGGTAGCTTCACACTTAACATATCTATAGGGTAGCTTCACATCTAACATATCTTTATACTGTATGGTAGCTTCACATCTAACATCTATATGGTAGCTTCAAATCTATTAGAGAGTATCTAACATATCTATTTGGTAGCTTCACATCTATTAGAGAGTATCTAACATATCTATATGGTAGCTTTACATCTATTAGAGAGTATCTAACATATCTATTTGGTAGCTTCACATCTATTAGAGAGTATCTAACATATCTATATGGTAGCTTCACATCTAATATATCTAAATAGCTTACAATATATTCATGCTTTACACAACTGTACAGCATGACAAATGTATATTTACATTTCTCATTGTTAAAGACTGTTCCACAAAAAATATCTAAATTTAGATTTTTCACGTAACACATTTATAAGGGGACTTGACGTGTATCACATTGTGGTCACTTTCTACGTCACATGACTGTGTTGTTGTGGTTGTTGAGGTGGTGGTGTTGTTGGTAGTGTCAAAAAACCTAGCTCTGTCTACACCGACACAGCGACTGGCTGACCCAACTGTTCTAGAAGCTTCTCGGCTCTAAGTTGGCGGGAAGTCGAACCAAGTCTCGTAAAACTGTTTTTAGCAGACGACAAGTCTGAACCTTCAGACGATGAGATAACGAGTGCCGGGATGCGTATAAATGGCAGCAGACGGTAATTAATTGGTCTTGATAAAATCACGTCAATTATCTGAGCAATCACAGACGCACACAAACACCCACGCATGTATTTATGTACACACACACACACACACATATATATATATATATATATATTTATATGCATGTATATTTATATATATATATATATATATATATATATATATATATATATATATATATATATATATATATATATATATATATATATATATATATGCATGTATATTTATATATATATATATATATATATATATATATATATATATATATATATATATACATATATATATATATATTTGTAATTAAGAATACTGACGAAGACTAAAGGTCGAAACATATAACAATTGTCAGTGTCATGTAAATAATTGTATAATACGATGTTACAGCCGTGTGTTCTCATAAATTACCGATAAAATAATGACTTCTTTGACTCCTCCTCCAAACCCCTCATCCAACAAATGTAAACAATTAGTTGTAGGTATAGACAGGACATGAACTGATCAGCCTGAAACACCACGATTGATGACGTGGAACACCACGATTGATGACGCGGCTAACGGCTTTTGTCTCGCGATATTGTGTCTTTATTCCCTGTGATCGCGTGCACACAAATAAACTACCGGATACCCTGTAGTCACCGGCGACCGACTCCACCAACTAAAGTTGACCGTCTGTCATCTGTCACAGTACCGCACGACCTGGGTACAACAACATTCATTGTCGTCTGCTCCTGCTCGCCGCCATGTTTTCACGTCTGCTGTGGCTAGGGTTGGACGTCTAACAAAATATTTCCCCGTCCCCCGGGGTGTAATAAAAGTCACCCAGAGAGTTAAGCAGCCTGTAGCAAGTTTGTTTCAAGCTTGGGATTTCAGTTTTTAGTGAATGTTTATTACCGGGAGCTTCTTGCTTCTCACTAATTAATTAGTTTAATTAAAAATACGTTTTAAATTTTATTTTATAATTTTTTAAAATAATTTCAACCTGACTTAAAAGCTGCTATTGTACAAAATCTGGTCCAAATTATCTTTTAATTATACTCAAAACTTGAAAATAAAATAAAAATATCGCGTGAGGTGTGACTTGTGGAGGGTAAACAGCGTGAAATGAAACCGTTTTGTTTAGAGGCTAGAGCTTTGTTGATGTCGTAAAATATGTGTTCGGATGTTTAGATGCTAGAGCTTTGCTGTTGTCGTAAAATATGTGTCCAGGATTCAGCCGCTTGTCCGTGCACTTTAACGAGGGCCAATGACAAGGTGTAGGTGAGTGTCGCACGTGCATCTGGTGCTAGAGTTTGGCGCCAGATCTATAAATAGTACATGTTAAAGTGCGTGCTTGTTAACGGTTAATTGTCGCTCGTTAACGCTTTCCTGCTGTTGACGTGTCAGTGGCAGTTGTCATTTATTTGATGACATGACATATCAGTGGCAGTAATCGATACTTCACTGATGTGACGGGGAGAGCCAAGTCATAACATCTCGCGAGAGTGTAGTCGTAACATCTCGCGAGACTCTAGTCGTAACATCACGCGAGATTGTAGTCGTAACATCTCGCGAGACTAGTCGTAACATCACGCGAGATTGTAGTCGTAACATCTCGCGAGATTGTAGTCGTAACATCCCGCGAGACTCGATTTTATTCCAAACTATTTTTGTGTGACCTGGGTAGTTTTTTCATAATAGCAATTTGCGACCCACACGAGCCATAGACCCGTGGACCCATAGACCCGTGGACCCATAGACCCGTTGATCCATAGACCCGTGGATCCATAGACCCATGGATCCATAGACCCGTGGACACATAGACCCGTGGACCCATAGACCCGTGGATCCATAGACCCATGGATCCATAGACCCGTGGACCCATAGACCCGTGGACCCATAGACCCGTGGACTCATAGACCCGTGGACCCATAGACCCGTGGACCCATAGACCCGTGGACCCATAGACCCAATAACCCCTAGACGCATCCATCCTTCCCTGGAGTTTTTGACCCCTGTTAAAAGCGGATATACTTAAATTAGAAAAACTCATTCATTTAATACAGCAGTCAGCAGACACTAATTAAACCTGAGATAGGACTTAACAACAAAGTAATAGTGACTCTGAACTACTGACAGACAGACGAAACCTGTGACAGACAAACCAAACCTGTGACAGACAGACCAAACCTGTGACAGACAGACGAAACCTGTGACATCACCCCCAAACTTCTGACAGACAGACCAAACCTGTGACAGACAAACCAAACCTGTGACAGACAGACAAACCTGTGACAGACAGAAAGGCCTGTATAAGGACAACATGGAAAAGTTATTTCCCTCACCTCATTAACCCCGACCACGAATAAATGTAATCGGGTAATTAACCGACAAATTAATAATACCCAATCGGATTACAACTTTAAAAAAATCTTCCTACTCTCATTATTGTATCGTTCTAATTTCTGGCCGCATTGCAACCTCCTCAATGATTCAAGATCATTTTCTCTCACATCTGTCTTGTTCTCTCAATATCTGGTCTGTCTCTGTCTCTCTCTCTGTCTCTCTCTGTTCCCCGTCTCCCCGAGATGTCTCCCACACGCTGATAGCTTGGCAGGTGGAACAGATTCTGGACAATGCGCCAAAATTACAATTTTCTCTTGAGTAGCTTAGCTTAAAGTAAATACCGATCTGAAATCAATCGATCAGTCCAGGATTATTGAACCCAACCACAAATATCTATCTCCTGGAAGGTTTGATCAGTCCAGGATTATTGAACCCAACAACAAATATCTACCTCCTGGAAGGTTTAATACGTGCAGGTTAGAATTTACAGACGGGTACAGAAATGTTGACCAGATAAGTATCCCCCCCCCACATTTTGTGCAGGTCAGTCATATGTGTGGACCCCCCCACATTTTGTGCAGGTCAGTCATGTGTGTGGACTCCCCCCCCCCACATTTTGTGCAGGTCAGTCATGTGTGTGGACTCCCCCCCCCCCCACTGTTTGTGTAGGCCAGTCACGTGTGTGGTCGTGTGTGTGTCTGCAGGTGGAGACTATCGGCGACGCCTACATGGTGGTGAGCGGTGTGCCAGACATCACAGAAAAACATTCCCAGAGGGTGGCCAACTTCGCACTGGACATGGTCAGTCAAGCGTGCAACGTGCTGTGTCCACACACGGGGGAACCTCTACAGGTGCGTCACGCGTCATTGACTCCCTGCGGCAGGTGCCTGCCAGGGTCATTAACTCCATGCGACAGGTGCCTGCCAAGGTCATTAACTACCTGCGGCAATTAATTCATCCCTGCCGTTTTGAAACTCCGCATTATAACGTAGTATTGAGATAAGCACATAGAGAACCTAACTTGGGTTGGTGAAGTAGAGTCACGTGGTATTAGGCCTTAGAGTCACGTGATATCACGTGACTCTGGGGACCTCCGCGTGGGTGTGCGGCTAATGATTGCCGCCCTAATAATTCAATTAGACTTAATGAAAAGCTCTAAAACTGGGGAGTACAGTTATAATTTGAACCTCATCCTTGCTAATAGAGTTGTTGATAGCTTCTTCTGCCCCGTATAAGGCTTACACAACTGCTGATGTTTTGTAAGCTCAGTATTGGATGACGTAGCCAGTAATTTTGTTTGGGCCAAATTTCCAATTTATTTTCATCGATTGTACTCCTCCATGTCAATATAGAATCTCGGTCTTACACAGTGTAGGAAGGTCGTTGGCTGACCTAGTGTAGAAAGGTCGTTCGATGACCTAGTATAAAAAGGACAGGACCTCCATAAAGCTTTCGTTTTAATCAAATTAATTATTTGCCATAATATCGGGACAATTTTTTAATGAATAAATTTTGAATCTGACAAAACTGGTAATCGAATTTTTGAATTGCACAGCTACGTCCAAGACTTCAATAGAGTTTTTGTATTGAAACTTTTCTTTATAATTGTAATCGATTCTTAAAACTTTGTCCCCAGTAGTCTTCAACTGTCGGGCTCCGATCAATGACTCCAGGGTGGGGCTCCATTCAATGACTCCAGGGTCGGGCTCCATTCAATGACTCCTGGGTCGGGCTCCATTCAATGACTCCTGGGTCGGGCTCCATTCAATGACTCCATGGTGGGGCTCCATTCAATGACTCCTGGGTCGGGCTCCATTCAATGACTCCATGGTGGGGCTCCATTCAATGACTCCTGGGTCGGGCTCCATTCAATGACTCCATGGTGGGGCTCCATTCAATGACTCCTGGGTCGGGCTCCATTCAATGACTCCATGGTGGGGCTCCATTCAATGACTCCTGGGTCGGGCTCCATTCAATGACTCCATGGTGGGGCTCCATTCAATGACTCCTGGGTCGGGCTCCATTCAATGACTCCAATTATTTAGTAAACATCTCTCAAGAACAAAATTGTTGGTGCAGATGTTGCTGTAGCGAGCGACACTGAACACAACTCATTCCATTGATGTACACACACGCACACACTCATAATACTCATATACACACAAATTGTAAGGAAAAATTGAAAGAAACCTGTCCTGTCAACAAATGACCTCAGGTTTTCCTTATTGCCATACAAGTTTTCATGCTCGCAGTTGAGAGGTTTATTTTTCTTTAATATGTTTTATTTTTGTTTTCCCTGTGTTCCCTGCACCCTGCCAGATCCGCGTGGGCCTGCACACAGGGCCTGTGGTGGCAGGTGTGGTGGGGGTCAAGATGCCCCGCTACTGCCTGTTTGGGGACACGGTCAACACGGCCTCCAGGATGGAGAGCAACTCGGTGCCAGGTCGCATCCACGTCAGCCAGACGACATTTGAGTGAGTACCTGTCTGTCCTCACCTGTCTGTCCTCACCTGTCTATCCTTACCTGCCTGTCCTTACCTGTCTGTCCTCACCTGCCTGTCCTGACCTGCCTGTCCTTACCTGTCTGTCCTCACCTGCCTGTCCTAACCTGCCTGTCCTGACCTGTCTGTCCTCGCCTGTCTGTCCTCACCTGCCTGTCCTAACCTGCCTGTCCTGACCTGTCTGTCCTCGCCTGTCTGTCCTCGCCTGTCTGTCCTCGCCTGTCTGTCCTCACCTGCCTGTCCTAACCTGCCTGTCCTGACCTGTCTGTCCTCGCCTGTCTGTCCTCACCTGCCTGTCCTAACCTGCCTGTCCTGACCTGTCTGTCCTCGCCTGTCTGTCCTCACCTGCCTGTCCTCACCTGTCTGTCCTCACCTGCCTGTCCTAACCTGTCTGTCCTAACCTGCCTGTCCTGACCTGTCTGTCGTCACCTGTCTGTCCTCACCTGTCTGTCCTCACCTGTCTGTCCTTACCTGTCTGTCCTCACCTGCCTGTCCTTACCTGTCTGTCCTCACCTGCCTGTCCTAACCTGCCTGTCCTGACCTGCCTGTCCTCACCTGCCTGTCCTAACCTGCCTGTCCTGACCTGTCTGTCCTCACCTGTCTGTCCTCACCTGCCTGTCCTAACCTGCCTGTCCTGACCTGCCTGTCCTTACCTGTCTGTCCTCACCTGCCTGTCCTAACCTGCCTGTCCTGACCTGTCTGTCCTCACCTGTCTATCCTCACCTGTCTGTCCTAACCTGCCTGTCCTGACCTGTCTGTCGTCACCTGTCTGTCCTCACCTGTCTGTCCTCACCTGTCTGTCCTTACCTGTCTGTCCTCACCTGCCTGTCCTAACCTGCCTGTCCTGACCTGCCTGTCCTCACCTGCCTGTCCTTACCTGTCTGTCCTCACCTGCCTGTCCTAACCTGCCTGTCCTGACCTGCCTGTCCTCACCTGCCTGTCCTAACCTGCCTGTCCTGACCTGTCTGTCCTCACCTGTCTATCCTCACCTGCCTGTCCTCACCTGCCTGTCCTTACCTGTCTGTCCTCACCTACCTGTCCTCACCTGCCTGTCCTCACCTACCTGTCCTCACCTGCCTGTCTGTCCTCACCTGTCTGTCCTCACCTGTCTGTCCTCACCTGTCTGTCCTAACCTGCCTGTCCTGACCTGCCTGTCCTTACCTGTCTGTCCTCACCTGCCTGTCCTCACCTGTCTATCCTCACCTGCCTGTCTGTCCTCACCTGTCTGTCCTCACCTGTCTGTCCTCACCTGCCTGTCCTAACCTGCCTGTCCTGACCTGCCTGTCCTTACCTGTCTGTCCTCACCTGCCTGTCCTAACCTGCCTGTCCTGACCTGTCTGTCCTCACCTGTCTATCCTCACCTGCCTGTCCTCACCTGTCCTCACCTACCTGTCCTCACCTGCCTGTCCTTACCTGTCTGTCCTCACCTACCTGTCCTCACCTGTCTGTCCTCACCTGCCTGTCCTGACCTGCCTGTCCTGACCTGTCTGTCCTCACCTGTCTATCCTCACCTGTCTGTCCTCACCTACCTGTCCTCACCTGTCTGTCCTCACCTACCTGTCCTCACCTGTCTGTCCTCACCTACCTGTCCTTACCTGTCTGTCCTCACCTGTCTGTCCTCACCTACCTGTCCTTACCTGTCTGTCCTCACCTACCTGTCCTCACCTGTCTATCCTCACCTGTCTGTCCTCACCTACCTGTCCTCACCTGTCTGTCCTAACCTGCCTGTCCTCACCTGCCTGTCTGTCCTCACCTGTCTGTCCTCACCTGTCTGTCCTCACCTGTCTGTCCTTACCTGTCTGTCCTCACCTGCCTGTCCTCACCTGCCTGTCCTCACCTGCCTGTCCTTACCTGTCCGTCCTCACCTGCCTGTCCTCACCTGCCTGTCCTCACCTGCCAGTCCTCACCTGCCAGTCCTCACCTGTACCTGTCCTCCACCACAGCATCACCCCAACCTACAGCAGCTCCAGCAACACAACCCTACCCATAATGCCTCGTGATCATCCGTGTTTAAGTTCTACATATTTCAGATCAGAACTTGCCCAATACTCTTTTTTACACAACTGACATTTGACGGGGGGGGGGGGGGGGAGATGGCTTGATAAATACAGACCTGCGATAGGGGGAGAGCTAGGTCCTCCTCCAGAGACCTCCCCCCCCCCCCCATAGGGAATACATTGAGATTATCAAATTTTTCGGCACTATCAAATAATTTGAGTCAAGTAAAATATTTCGTCGGAAGATCAAAACATGAATTACTGTCGACACGCTAAGTTTAGTAATCTGATTCATCTCCATAATTTAAGTTAATTAGGAGAAACAACTAATTACCAATGTCCGAACGAATCATGTGATGGAGAAGGGTGGAACTGCGATGACTCCCCCCCCCCCATCAGTAGGTGTTGCCCCCCCCCCCCCCCATCAGTAGGTGTGACCCCCAGCAGTAGGTGTTGACCCCTCCCCCCAGCACTAGGTTTTGACCCCCATCAGTAGGTGTTGACCTACCCCCCCCCCCCCATCAGTAGGTGTTGACCTACCCCCCCCCCCCCCCCCCCCGACAGCTGAGAGCAATTATTTTGTCTGCTAACGATTACCTGTAATCTCACCTGTAGAGACGTCACGTGACGATTAGATACCCGAGATGTCGGCACATGCCTAAAAATAGATGACCGCCATTTTGTCTGACGGTTTAAACTGCCAGATACCACGTGGTCAGTTCAACACAGAATTCCCCCACCCCCCCCCCCCCCCCCACCCCCCCCACCCCCCACACACACACAGCTCCAAGTTCTAGCAAATTAAAATACACAACCGGCCCTTCAACTAGAAACTAGATTCTGATTTTAAAACATTTCTTTGAATTTGTTTTCAAGCCAAAAGCGAAAGTACCTTTGATAACTTAAAAACAAGTTAATAAAAAGTCTAGTGACAATTTAAGCGCAATTTCCTTATGTTATCCATAAACAATTTTTAATTTTTTGTGACCGAAAACGAAAGGATATTTTTTTTGCGCTAAAAAAAAGACAACTATATTAACCTATATCAACGGAAATAGTTTTATTTTAACGAGTAGGCCTACACGATGCTCAGTTTAAACAAGTTAATAAAAAGTCTAGTGACAATTTAAGCAAAATTTCCTTAATTAATTTTTTGTGACCGAACGAAATGATATTTTTGAAAACTTTCTTCGGCAATATTGTTCTAAATTATGGCAGGAATCGATTGGTAAATGTTTCAAGTCGCTAAGTGGTCTGGTTGCCGAGATATGGGCCAAAAACAGAATTTTTTCGAGTTTTTTTTGGCTTTTCCGTGAAATCCAGGAAGGAATTCCGGGAATTTTTTTGGCCCACAATCATCCTCGGAACTTGCTTAACATATTTGCTTTGGAACTAGTCCTCGATATTGCTTCGTTGAGGAGGAGATACGACTTAAAGCTGCGCAAATCCATCCATCCATCCAGAAATAACAAGGTAATAATCGCAATTGTCCAGTATGGAAATTGCGCTAGAAAAGAAGTAAATATCATCCTAGGCCTACACGATGTTCAGTTTAAAAAAGTAGTAAATATTTTTTTGTGACCGAACGAAAGGATATTTTTGAAAACTTTCTTCGGCAATATTGTTCTAAATTATGTCAGGAATCGATTGGTAAATGTTTCAAGTCGCTAAGTTGTCTGTTTGCCGAGATATGGACCAAAAACTGCACTTTTTCGAGGTTTTTTGGCTTTTCCGGGAAACCCGGGAATTTTTTTGGCCCACAATCATCCATATTTTAACATATTTGCTTTTGGAACTAGACCTCGATATTGCTTCGTTGAGGAGGAGATACGACTTAAAGCTGCGGACACACATCCATCCATCCATCCATCCATCACCAGAAATGACGAGTTAATAATCGCAATTGTCCAGTATGGAAATTGCGCTAAAAAAGATTTAATAAACATATTCACATTCGCTTTTTAAAAAAAATAAAAATAGCTAGCTGGCACTTTTTTGATGACCCAGGAAAAGACATCATTTCTTTGTGTACTAAAGTACCCTATAGTTTGTAGAGCGCCCCCCCCCCAACCCCCCAACGCCATTCTGAAAGTTCTGTTATCTTAAAATCTTATAGTCTCATTAAGTCTCCTTCCTCATGTCCTTTTGTGTTAGATAAATCTGTGTCCTGGTGTCCTAATGTGTCAGGATGTCCTACTGTGTCCTTATGTCCTTTTGTGTCCTGATGTTATATAGCGTCTGTGTATCCTGATGTCCTACTGTATATATATATATATATATATATATATATATATATATATATATATATATATATATATATATATATATATATATATATATATATATATATATATATATATCATGATGTCCTGTATCTATATGTCCTGATGTCCTATATCTATATGCCCTGATGTCCTATATCTATATGTCCGGGTGTCCTATATATCCTGATGTCCTATATGTCCTGTTGTCCTGTGCCTATATATCCTGATGTCCTGTACCTGTTTGTGCAGGGCCCTGAGAGACCACGGCTTCCTGTTCCGGTCTCGCGGTGACGTCAACATCAAGGGCAAGGGCGTGATGACAACGTACTTCCTGGTGGGGAGGCGGGGCCACGCCTTGTCGGAACCTGACGACCAGCACGCGCGCCTGCCGCTCCTGATGGCCGACAGTGACGTGGACACGGGTCTCCATGACCTCTGTGAGTTCAAAGTTCACGTGCTTGTCATTTCCATCACGTGACATCTGACATCTCAGCTGTTGTTCTGTTTGTACAAACCACATCACGTCAGATGTACATATCGTGTCACGTCAGGTGTACATATCCTGTCACGTCTAGTGTACATATCGTGTCACGTCAGGTGTATATATCGTGTCACGTCTAGTGTACATATCGTGTCACGTCTAGTGTACATATCGTGTCACGTCTAGTGTACTTATCCTGTCACGTCTAGTGTACATATCGTGTCACGTCTAGTGTATATATCGTGTCACGTCAGGTGTATATATCGTGTCACGTCAGGAGTACATATCGTGTCACGTCAGGTGTACATATCGTGTCACGTCTAGTGTACATATCGTGTCACGTCAGGAGTACATATCGTGTCACGTCAGGAGTACATATCGTGTCACGTCTAGTGTACATATCGTGTCACGTCAGGAGTACATATCGTGTCACGTCAGGAGTACATATCGTGTCACGTCAGGTGTACATATCGTGTCACGTCTAGTGTACATATCGTGTCACGTCTAGTGTACATATCGTGTCACGTCTAGTGTACATATCGTGTCACGTCTAGTGTACATATCGTGTCACGTCTAGTGTACATATCGTGTCACGTCTAGTGTACATATCGTGTCACGTCTAGTGTATATATCGTGTCACGTCAGGTGTATATATCGTGTCACGTCTAGTGTACATATCGTGTCACGTCTAGTGTATATATCGTGTCACGTCTAGTGTACATATCGTGTCACGTCTAGTGTATATATCGTGTCACGTCAGGTGTATATATCGTGTCACGTCTAGTGTACATATCGTGTCACGTCTAGTGTATATATCGTGTCACGTCAGGTGTACATATCGTGTCACGTCTAGTGTATATATCGTGTCACGTCAGGTGTATATATCGTGTCACGTCTAGTGTACATATCGTGTCACGTCTAGTGTATATATCGTGTCACGTCAGGTGTACATATCGTGTCACGTCTAGTGTATATATCGTGTCACGTCAGGTGTATATATCGTGTCACGTCTAGTGTACATATCGTGTCACGTCTAGTGTATATATCGTGTCACGTCAGGTGTACATATCGTGTCACGTCAGGTGTATATATCGTGTCACGTCTAGTGTACATATCGTGTCACGTCTAGTGTATATATCGTGTCACGTCAGGTGTACATATAGTGTCACGTCAGGTGTACATATCGTGTCATGTCTAAAACTCACAACAAGTGCCCATTGGAGAAAATAAATAAGAAAGCGTATCTGTCGTTACAACGCTGTTGTGTTAGATGTAAATTATTTCAATTTTGTCTTTTTTTTTTACTGATAGTAGGTAATAACCATGTCTTCTTCTTCTTCTTCGTTCTTAATTATTAGTGCTGAAGGGGATCGAGATTTATCTGCCAGTGGGTTTGAACTCGAGACTGTTCGAATGTATCAACCATGAGCTTTTTGCCGACTCGACCACGCCCCCAACACAATTAAGCGTTACGTGTCAACTGGTTATGCGCCATTGAGGCCATTGACTCCGATTTCAGCCTGCTTTTCTTTTTGGATTTGCTTCCATAGCCTTTGTCCAACCAAGAACAAACTACAAGGCAGCAGTTTTTTATTTTTGGAGTTGTCTCTCCTAGAAGAGTGGCTGTCCCCAGCTAACGAGCCTCATCTGCCCGAGGGTTCGAACTCGAGACTTTTCGGTTTAGCAACCATGAGCTTTTACCGACTCGACCACGCCGACCCCTAATAACCATGTAATAACCATACAATAGCCAGGTTATAACCAGGAAATAACCAGACGATAACCAGACTACTACCAGGCTCTAGTCCATTTGACCTTTGTCGTATACGATGCTGTACGTCATTAGAAAAATAACTTCCGGAAAACTCGCTATACGCGGCTTCATTGTAGTTGATGCCCTGGGCATATGCCTAGTTGACCTTTGGACGGATATTTCATTTCTTTGCTAATTGTATTCGGTATAGTATACATGTATGACTGTATGGTATATCTGTCAGCTTGGCCTCCAGTCAAAGGACTTGGCACAACTGCCGAACAGCTCTACCGGACAGTTCTAACTATCGGACAGCTCTAACTGTCGGACAGCTGTAACTGTCGGACAGCTCTACCTGCCGGACAGCTCTACCTGTCGGACAGCTCTAACTGTCGGACAGTTCTACCTGCCGGACAGTTCTACCTGCCGGACAGCTCTAACTGTCGGACAGCTCTACCTGTCGGACAGTTCTAACTGTCGGACAGTTCTAACTGTCGGACAGTTCTAACTGTCGGACAGTTCTAACTGTCGGACAGTTCTAACTGTCGGACAGCTCTGCCGGACAGCTCTACCTGTCGGACAGCTCTACCTGTCGGACAGCTCTACCTGTCGGACAGCTCTAACTGCCGGACAGCTCTAACTGTCGGACAGCTCTACCTGTCGGACAGCTCTACCTGTCGGACAGCTCTACCTGTCGGACAGCTCTACCGGACAGTTCTAACTGTCGGACAGTTCTAACTGTCGGACAGTTCTAACTGTCGGACAGCTCTAACTGTCGGACAGCTCTACCTGTCGGACAGTTCTAACTGTCGGACAGTTCTAACTGTCGGACAGTTCTAACTGTCGGACAGCTCTGCCGGACAGCTCTACCTGTCGGACAGCTCTACCTGTCGGACAGCTCTACCTGTCGGACAGCTCTAACTGCCGGACAGCTCTAACTGTCGGACAGCTCTACCTGTCGGACAGCTCTACCTGTCGGACAGCTCTAACTGCCGGACAGCTCTAACTGTCGGACAGCTCTACCGGACAGCTCTACCTGTCGGACAGCTCTAACTACCGGACAGCTCTAACTGCCGGACAGCTCTACCTGTCGGACAGTTCTAACTGCCGGACAGTTCTAACTGTCGAACAGTTCTGCCGGACAGCTCTAACTGCCGGACAGCTCTGCCGGACAGTTCTAACTGTCGGACAGCTCTGCCGGACAGCTCTACCTGTCGGACAGCTCTACCTGTCGGACAGCTCTAACTGTCGGACAGTTCTACCTGCCGGACAGTTCTACCTGCCGGACAGCTCTACCTGTCGGACAGCTCTAACTGTCGGACAGCTCTACCTGTCGGACAGCTCTACCTGCCGGACAGCTCTACCTGTCGGACAGTTCTAACTGCCGGACAGCTCTAACTGTCGGACAGCTCTACCTGTCGGACAGCTCTACCTGTCGGACAGCTCTACCTGTCGGACAGCTCTACCTGTCGGACAGCTCTACCTGTCGGACAGCTCTAACTGCCGGACAGCTCTACCTGTCGGACAGCTCTAACTGTCGGACAGTTCTAACTGCCGGACAGTTCTAACTGCCGGACAGCTCTACCTGTCGGACAGCTCTAACTGTCGGACAGCTCTACCGGACAGCTCTAACTGCCGGACAGTTCTACCTGCCGGACAGCTCTACCTGTCGGACAGCTCTACCTGTCGGACAGCTCTAACTGCCGGACAGCTCTACCTGTCGGACAGCTCTACCTGTCGGACAGCTCTAACTGCCGGACAGCTCTAACTGCCGGACAGTTCTAACTGTCGGACAGCTCTGCCGGATAGCTCTAACTGCCGGACAGCTCTGCCGGACAGTTCTAACTGTCGGACAGTTCTAACTGCCGGACAGTTCTAACTGTCGGACAGCTCTAACTGTCGGACAGTTCTAACTACCGGACAGCTCTACCTGTCGGACAACTCTAACTGTCGGACAGCTCTACCGGACAGCTCTACCTGTCGGACAGCTGTAACTGTCGGACAGTTCTAACTGCCGGACAGCTCTAACTACCGACTTGTTTATTTTTTCAGCCGTCAACGGTCACCGGGTGAACGGCTACATCCACGACCTGGCAGGGATCGAGCGCCTACAGATCAACAACAACAGCATCGATACCCAGCACAAACTCCACAACAGCATCGATACCCAGCACAAACTTCACGTCTCGCAAAGTAATCGATCTCTTAAAGACAGTAATCGAGTACATGAAGAAGAGTCGATCTTCGCCAGCAGGAAATCGTTCAATGACGTCAGCACGGATCTGACACGCCCACATTCTACTTCCGGCAGCAGAGACGCCCTTCAAGCAAAGTCGGTGCCCGCACAGCTGACGTCATCAAGCCCCTCCGGCCACAACAATATTTTTTCTAACACACTGTCCTCGGGTGTTGAGGCCAAATCTCGTGGCAACAACGAGACTTCGAGATTTGACGCCTCCATCAAAAACCGGCGGGTCAAGGACGATGACGTAGGACGGTTTCCCATGTACAGTAAAACGTGTCGTATTTTGTGATGACGTCATCGACGCTGGTGCCACGTGATGGCGCCTTAGAAAATGAATTCTAAAATTAGATTAGCCTGCGATGTACAGTCCACTGAAGACACAGCGAGATTTGAACCACGGACCAACTGGGGCGTCACGAGCCAGAAAACAGACTTTTTTTTCTGTCGACGTCATGTTCACCAGAACACAAGGCCGTGTGACGTCATGCTCACGTGCAACTGACGGTTGACAAAAGGCCTAAAAATGGTGCCCACAATACAGTTTTAAGTTCATTCGGTTAACTTCAAAAGATGAATTTAACAACGAAAAGAAAGTTGAATGTCTGTAACGTAGTCTAGGTCTGCTACACGTAGTCTAGGCCTGCTACACGTAATTTAGGCCTGCTACACGTAGTTTAGACCTGCTACACGTAGCCTAGGCCTGCTACACGTAGCCTAGGCCTGCTACACGTAATCTAGGCCTGCTACACGTAGTCTAGGCCTGCCACACGTAGTCTAGGCCTGCCACACGCAGTCTAGGCCTGCTACACGTAATCTAGGCCTGCTACACGTAGTCTAGGCCTGCCACACGTAGTCTAGGCCTGCCACACGCAGTCTAGGCCTGCTACACGTAATCTAGGCCTGCTACACGTAGTCTAGGCCTGTCACACGTAGTTGATTTCACATTGTACTGATAATGTCAATTTGTATGATGGCATTTGTAATGCACGTATTTATTTCTGCATAAATGACGTTTTATAGATATTGGAATGATTTTTTTATTTATTTTTTTTGTGCTACACGGCAAAGTAGAGGGAGAAATGTTGTCTCGATAGTTGTGGTGCTTTCTCTTGGCTTGACCTGCTGCTTGTTGGTAGCACTGTGGGTGGGGTTAGCACTGTGGGGGGAGTTAGCACTGTGGGTGGGTCTATTACTGTGGGTGGGGTAAGCACGGTGTTAGTCCCGACAAATTAGCACACTAGAAGATGATAACTTTAAAAGACACATATCTTTTCCTTGTATGAGTCGCCTTGATATCTCAACACACATACACATGTTGCAGCACATCAGACACACACACATACACATGTTGCAGCACATCAGACACATACACGTTGCAGCACATCAGACACACACATACACATGTTGCAGCACATCAGACACACACACATACACATGTTGCAGCACATCAGACACACACACATACACATGTTGCAGCACATCAGACACACACACATACACATGTTGCAGCACATCAGACACACACACATACACATGAGTCGCATCACATCGGACACACACACACACACGTGTCGGAGCACATTAGACACACACACACATACTCACGTGTTGGTGTATGATGACTGTAGAAGGTTAAAAAAATCCTAACATGTTTCTAACCAGCTGGTGTCAACTTTCTAGTGTTGTGGCGTCATGGTGTCCTTGATTAGCACTCAGGCTGACACAGCCAAAATTTGAACTCGTTACAATCTAATGTGGGCTTGTGCTTTACTTGAGTTGTAGCTGGTTCGTCTCTAGCAAAGGTCAAACAAAGGTAAGACGGATCTTAAAGGAGGCCCATATCAGGGTCAAGGTCTAGTAGTTAAACAAGGTCAAGGTCTAGATCAAGGTTTATCGGTTAAAGCTAAACCAGTTCACGGTTTAGTGGTTTCAACAAGGCCAAGGTCTAGCGGTTAAACCAGCCAGTGTTTTTAGGTCAGGTACCCCAAAAGGTGAAGGTCAAATTGAACATAGAATCCATCTAGATAAGACGATCGTATCAATAGTAAAACCTCGGCAAGGTCAAGGTTAAAAGGGGAGTAATCGTCTCAAATACAAGCTACTCAATTGACTCGATTATTTCCCTTTATGGGAAATAATTTCTTTGTTGGGGCCACGTGAGGAAGCGCTGAGAAGGAACAAAAAGTTTCAAGTTGGACGATCAACTGGTGGATGGGTGGATGTTTAGTGTATGTTTGATGGATGGGTGGACGTTTGGTGGGTGGATGAATGTTTGGAGGATGGGTGGATGTTTAGTGGATGTTTGATGGATGGGTGGACGTTTGGTGGGTGGATGGATGTTTGGAGGATGGGTGGATGTTTAGTGGATGTTTGGAGGATGGGTTAGTCAAAATAAGTCTTTTTTTCTTAACTTTGACACCCTGTAATTCCGTAATGGAACTTAGAAAAATTAGCCTTTTCGTAATTTTTCTACCCCGGTTGGCGCCCTCTCTTGTGTAGGCGCTCGGAGCAGCCGACCGACCAGCCCCCCCCCCCCCCCTCCCCAGCTACGTCACTGGTCCATCCGTGTAGACGCCCGAACATCAGTTGTGTAGGTACGCCCTTTGAAAAGGTGAACCCCCCCCCCCCCACACACACACATGAAGCTGTAGACGCCCCAAGACCAGCTGTAGACGCCCCAAGACCAGCTGTAGATAGACGCCCCTAGTCCAACTGTGGACGCCTTGTGACCAGCTGTAGACGCCCCTAGTCCAACTGTGGACGCCTTGTGACCAGCTGTAGACGCCCCTAGTCCAACTGTGGACGCCTTGTGACCAGCTGTAGACGCCCCTAGTCCAACTGTGGACGCCTTGTGACCAGCTGTAGACGCCCCTATTCCAACTGTGGACGCCTTGTGACCAGCTGTAGACGCCCCTAGTCCAACTGTGGACGCCTTGTGACCAGCTGTAGATAGACGCCCTGCGCCCCGCGGACTGTAATCTCACCAGAAAGCTGATCGACTGCCAGTTACGTTTTGTTTATCACCAAAACAATAGAGGTCACGTGACCTACTATCATCAAGTGTGGCCTAAGTGCTGTGTCTGTGAGCTAGATGTGTCGCTGTTAGCCAGTCTTCCTTGTGTTGTCACTGTGTCACCAGGCGACCAAACTCTCTAGAAGGTATGTCCGTGCTTATGGTTCTTTACTTTTTCTCGCCATACAAATGTGCGACGCTGCTTTTCAAAGCCGGTTATTGTATCTAGGTGACGTCACATGAGCTGGTTATTGTATCTAGGTGACGTCACATGAGCCGGTTATTGTATCTAGGTGACGTCACATGAGCCGGTTATTGTATCTAGGTGACGTCACATGAGCTGGTTATTGTATCTAGGTGACGTCACATGAGCCGGTTATTGTATCTAGGTGACGTCACATGAGCCGGTTATTGTATCTAGGTGACGTCACATGAGCCGGTTAAAAGTGCCGGTCGCTGATCGTTTTATTATCGAGATTTCAAAAGTTGAAACGACAAGTCAAATTCGTTACACTGTTAACCCATTTCCTTCCGTAGTTCCTGTTGTTGCTGTGCCTGCAAATATCTAGCCCGTAGTGCAACGTCTGGGTTATGTCCGTAGAATTCCCCCTATCTGCTAGGGCAGGGGTTCCCAACCCTGTGCCCGCCGAACGATTCGTATGTGCCCGCCTCTCACTATTCGACAGAGACAGATTTTTTTTCATAAACATTATTGAAAGGTTGAAGGGGGATGCAAATCGAAAGTTTGGGGGGGGGGGGGGGGGGGGTTGCAAATCGAAAGTTTTGTCCCCGGGTGACGGGAAGGGTCACTACGCCTCTGGAAGGAGTTTGTAGATTTAAAATAGGTGGTGCCCGCCTCCCTACCGATATTTTAGAATGTGCTATAGAGTAAAAAAAGGTTGGGAACACCTGTGCTAGGGGGTCATCCATTTATGTCGTCCACAAAAATTTTGAATTTTTAGCCCTATACCTATACATCTGACCAAGCGAGCACATCATACACGCGCAGATATTTAAATATCTAAATTGTAACGTGGTTATTTTGGTTTTTTTTTTTTACATGAAAAAAATGACTAGATCTACATCTAGGCTTTGACACAAAATTAAGATTTTACGCCTACTATGATTTATTTACAATAGTTTGAAATGTTTAAAAATGAACTTGAAATACCAAGCATTGCTTACAATAGTTTGAAATGTTTAAAAATGAACTTGAAATACCAAGCATTGCTTACAATAGTTTGAAATGTTTAAAAATGAACTTGAAATACCAAGCATTGCTTACAATAGTTTGAAATGTTTAAAAATGAACTTGAAATACCAAGCTTTGCTGTAGAAAATTGCCGCGGTCAATGACCCCCGTCCTACCGCTCGTTAAAAAAAAATCGATATTTTTCTTAGGCGGGCGGTATACTGTAGTATACAGGTATACGGTAGTATACAGGTATACGGTAGTATACAGCTACATTCCTGATACATTCAACACAAGAGCTACCGACTTAATGTATGTTAATGTATAGTATAACCTTCTTTTTATGTGCAGGTTTTTAAATATTTTTGTAAACATTTTCAAATTTAAGTATTTTGTTGTTTAATTCAACATGTGGACGTCCACCTTGACCCGACCCCCCCCCCCCCCCACCCCCCGCGAGTCCATAGGCGTCCACAAAAATCGATTTTTTAACCCCCCCTCCCCCCTCGTGTGTGGACGTCATACATGGATGACCCCCTTGTGTATTTATGTAGTCAGCACTGAACGAAAAAGGTCACGCAGAGGCGTAGCGAGGGGGGGGGGCGGGGGGGGGACGACATATGTCCCCGGGCGCCGACCTTAGGGGGCGCCAAAATGGGTTGGAAAAAGAAATTGAAAGCTTGAGGGGAGGGGGGTGCAAATCGAAATCCTGATGGTGGGTGCAAATCAAAAGTTTGAGGGGGGGTGCAAATCGAAAGTTTGGTCCCCGGGCGCCGGGAAGGGTCGCTACGCCTCGGAGGTCACGCGTCCCAAAAAAGCCATTCAAACATTGCCAGTGCTGGATCCACTGCTTTGTTTGGGCTTCAGTGGACCATAGCGCTAGATTCATTGTAAGACATAGAACACCTAGTGTCTACATATTATAAATCGTGTGGTTTACTGCCCAGTACACCTGTGTCTACAGGATATCTTGTAGTTCCTCTGTAAATTTTGTTTGCTGTAAAACGTTGGTACTCGGCCTAACCTCCAACTCCCAACCGTTTATTTTACAGTGTTTGGAGGAAGTGTTGGGACTGCCTGAGTGAGAAGAAATGTCCAACTTTGTCGGGTAAGTGAGACTTAATGTCCAACTTTGTCGGGTAAGTGAGACTTAATGTCCAACTTTGTCGGGTAAGTGAGACTTAATGTCCAACTTTTGTCGGGTAAGTGAGACTTAATGTCCAACTTTTGTCGGGTACGATAAAACATCAGACTGCTGCTTGAGTTCGTGAATTAAATTACAGGGCATTACATTCACCAAACAGATTTGGACCAGAGTGTCATTAGCGAGAAAGCTTTATATGATGATACACATTTTGTGATGACTCCGTCGACTCCCATACTCACTGACTCTTCTGTCGACTCACTCATTCTTCTGTCAACTCACTGACTCTTCTGTCAACTCACTGACTCTTCTGACAACTCACTGAATATTCTGTCAACTCATTGACTCTTCTGACAACTCACTTGCTCTTCTGTCAACTCACTGACACTTCTGTCGACTCACTGAAAATCTGTCGACTCACTAAATCTTCTGTCGGGGCCCTTTTCCCTCTTTAATTTTTAAAAAACTTTTACATTGGGATTTTAATATTTGTATTATAAAAATAATTTTAAAAATACGTCGGTGCATACACTTGTTTTAATGAGCGCCATGCCCTAGGGATACGGAGGGCTACTATAATCAATGGCTAAAGAAAATAAGGGGTGTTCTCCAGCCGCCTCGGCAGTTGTATACAGTTGGGCGCCCCAAGTCTCTTCATTATGATGATGTCATGAAACAAGTTGTAGATATGCCACTTTCGTCAGTAGCTTGGCCTTCTAAGTATCGAACATACAGAAGCAGCTAAAATGGACTTCAAGGAACATAATCATTTTACAAACTTATAAGTAAGAGAAAAAAATCTAAATAAATCATGAGCAACTTTTTAAAAATTTGTATTTGGCAAGTGGCGTCACAAGTTTCGATATCACCCGGTGCGTTTAGTGAGTGTCACCCCCCATTCCGTCTAACAATTTTGCATTTCAGGTGGAGTGTTACCCCCTCTCCTTAATTTTTTTTATTTTTTTAATTGAATGAAACATAGTTTTGACAATAAATTTTACGAGTTTTCGTCATGGTGTTACGCCTACATTTAGAGGCCCACGCCTCTTGAAGCTACTGTGTTAGGTCACTTAAAGGTTACAGGCTTACAGTTAATTTGTTTTTACATAAAAGTGATATAAAATCAAAGGTATTTTACGCTACGTGGTACTACATAATTATACCGTATAAATACACAACTATGTACACAATTTACCGATTAAAGTAGGTGCCCAATAATGATTTTTGCATAGGGGCCCGAAAATCCTAGCTACGCCACTGTTCTGTCGACTTACCACGGCACTCAATACTGGTCGATAAGGGCAACAAAATATGGTCAATGTTTTTTTTTTTATCAATGGACTAATCCTACTACACAGTAGACCAAGACCATATCCGCGAAGCTCGCTATATTTTCAGCGAAGCAAGTCATCACTTAATGACCCTCATTAGTACTTAAGACTTCCAGGACTTAATTTTTATTTTTGCAATTGAAATCACTTTCGTTGATCCAACTATCGTTGGTCAATCTATCGTTGATCAAACTATCATTGATAAAACTATCGTTAATATGTTTTCGTAACACAGCAAGAGGGCCGTAGTTTATTTCTCAAAATGCAGGCTAGAGGTACATCGACATAAAATACGGTAGAGAATGACTTTTTGTTCGCCCTCTATGGCGAAATACGATTTGATCCGGCAATATCTCCAGCTATCTAGTGAGTTTCTCGGGGTGTGGGCAATATCTCCAGCTATCTAGTGAGTTTCTCGGGGTCCGGCAATATCTTCAGCTATCTAGTGAGTTTCTCGGGGTCCGGCAATATCTCCAGCTATCTAGTGAGTTTCTCGGGGTCCGGCAATATCTTCAGCTATCTAGTGAGTTTCTCGGGGTCCGGCAATATCTCCAGCTATCTAGTGAGTTTCTCGGGGTGTGGTCAATATCTCCAGCTATCTAGTGAGTTTCTCGGGGTGTGGGCAATATCTCCAGCTATCTAGTGAGTTTCTCGGGGTGTGGTCAATATCTCCAGCTATCTAGTGAGTTTCTCGGGTCCGGCAATATCTCCAGCTATCTAGTGAGTTTCTCGGGTCCGGCAATATCTCCAGCTATCTAGTGAGTTTCTCGGGGTCCGGCAATATCTCCAGCTATCTAGTGAGTTTCTCGGGGTGTGGGCAATATCTCCAGCTATCTAGTGAGTTTCTCGGGGTCCGGCAATATCTCCAGCTATCTAGTGAGTTTCTCGGGGTGTGGTCAATATCTCCAGCTATCTAGTGAGTTTCTCGGGGTGTGGGCAATATCTCCAGCTATCTAGTGAGTTTCTCGGGTCCGGCAATATCTCCAGCTATCTAGTGAGTTTCTCGGGTCCGGCAATATCTCCAGCTATCTAGTGAGTTTCTCGGGGTCCAAACCTAAGCTATCTAGTGAGTTTCTCGGGGTCCGGGCAATATCTCCAGCTATCTAGTGAGTTTCTCGGGTCCGGTAATATCTCCAGCTATCTAGTGAGTTTCTCGGGGTCCGGCAATATCTCCAGCTATCTAGAAGTTTCTCGGGTCCGGCAATATCTTCAGCTATCTAGTGAGTTTCTCGGGGTCCGGGCAATATCTCCAGCTATCTAGAAGTTTCTCGGGTCCGGCAATATCTTCAGCTATCTAGTGAGTTTCTCGGGGTCCGGGCAATATCTCCAGCTATCTAGAAGTTTCTCGGGTCCGGCAATATCTCCAGCTATCTAGTGAGTTTCTCGGGGTCCGGCAATATCTCCAGCTATCCAGTGAGTTTCTCGGGGTGTGGTCAATATCTCCAGCTATCTAGTGAGTTTCTCGGGGTGTGTGCAATATCTCCAGCTATCTAGTGAGTTTCTCGGGGTCCGGCAATATCTTCAGCTATCTAGTGAGTTTCTCGGGGTCCGGCAATATCTCCAGCTATCTAGTGAGTTTCTCGGGGTGTGTGCAATATCTCCAGCTATCTAGTGAGTTTCTCGGGTCCGGCAATATCGCCAGCTATCTAGTGAGTTTCTCGGGGTCCGGCAATATCTCCAGCTATCTAGTGAGTTTCTCGGGGTATGCAGGACTTAGTTGGAGGGCCCGGTCCTTTACAATGTGGTGGCTTTCAGGTGTGTACTAGCTGCTCAATGTATGTGTACCAGGAAGTACTAATTATAGAATTAGGTTGTGTGGTGTGTGTGTGTGCGGCGGGGTTGGGGTGGTAGGAAAATAAAAAAAAATTCCCTTAAAATTTCCCCGGAACTAGGTCATGGTCTCCTTTGTCGTCTCACAATGACAGCCCTTGAGTGGTTTGTTACTCGTGTGTACATAACATACATACGTGTGTACATGACATACAAACATGTGAACATGACATACACACATATGTACATGACATACACGCGTGCGTACATGACATACACACGTGTGTACATGACATACACACATATGTACATGACATACACGCGTGTGTACATGACATACACACATATGTACATGACATACACGCGTGTGTACATGACATACACACGTGTGTACATGACATACACACATATGTACATGACATACACACATTTGTATATGTACGTCACATACATACATATGTGCATGACATACACGCATGTGTATATGTACATGATATACGCACATATGTACATGACATACACACATGTGTACATGACTTACACACGTATTACATGACATACACACATATGTATATGTACATGACATATAGTGATATACACACATGTACATGTCATACACACGTGTGTACATGACATACATACACACATGTGTAAATGACATACATATACGCTGTGTAAATGACATACACGTTATGTACACAGTGAGACCGAATTTACTTCCCGACTCGCCTGACCACCCGTGTCACAATAGCACAGTGTGTGTGTGTGGGGGTGTGTGTGTCGGTACGCCCAGGTGTGTGTGTATGCCAACAAGACACCCTAGTGCTGAACTAGATTTGATCGTTTGATATCAACGCACGATAACACGAGATTAGAAAACATCGTCCGTCAGATCAAGTTTTGGGATAGAACGTGGGCCTCTAGTGTGTGGGCCTCTAGTACAGTGTGTGGACCACAGGTTTGATCTGAAACTGTTTAAAAAAGGATTGTAAAAGATGGATGAAAGGACTCCGATATTCGACAGCAGGTAAATTCTGTGACAAAAATTGTTTATGTATTTTATCTTCCTCTTACACGATGATTTATTGAACGCTAGACACTTTACATACCCTCAGAACAGTACACATTGTATTACTGCTACATTTTATTATTACAAAATTATTCTTTTCAAATCTTTACTTTTCAAATATTCGAAACGTCTATATTCTTATTTCAAGCTTTTATTTTAAATTTGCTTCCACTGTTGTCATAGATCAAAACGGGCGAGCGAAATTTCAAGTACTTCTAACTGACCGATTCGTTTAAGAGTTGGCACGTGGGTCAAGACTTAAAGACAATGAAATCTGACATTTAATTTGACCTAATTGGATGCCTAGTTATTTTTTTTTATGAATTAATTAAAACTTTCTGAAATGAGTAGGGTATCTTACTACTACTATTAGGTAGTCCAAACTGGCGAAAAAGTGCGTTTTAGGGTCAGTTTTTGCGGTTTTCAAAAAAAAAAAAATTTCACTACTTCTAGTTGTCCTATAAGAATAAAAATTATATGTCAATAAAGTTTTAGCCTTTATCTGTCGTAATCTGGTATTTTTATTTCTGTAACACATGTTTGAATGTGTTTTATATTTGTTTGAAAAGTATCAGTTACGTCAACAAATTTCACCGTTTTGCGTGTACCGATCGACCACACACTGTTTCATTTGGTTGCGGCTTCGCGACGAAGCATCGTAGAAGCATAATCTTAATGTCATTTTAAAGATCGAATTCTAGTCTATCGTTTGATGTATAAATTGAAAAAATAACTAGTTTATTTCATTTAAAAAATACAGATTTTAAACTTTAAATGACGATATATACACGAAAACAAACTAATTCTGTTTCAATCTTTACACCGATGTAAAGTTCACTTTTATAACTACTTTGTGTTGTAAATTCAAGTCTTTCTGATTTACGGTCGCGAAGCCGTACCCTCAATAAGCATATAACCCTCGAGTCAACTTTCAGCCCCGAATGAGTTGCTCGCCGAACGGTTTTAAAGGTTGACGACCGATGATGCTAAACGGATTTTACCCTTGCTAGAGCCTTCAAACAAGTTGTAAGTATCATTTTTAAAGTTTCATTTCCATTTTAATGAATGAATTTTAAGTTTGAATGTCAGTTTGGTTTAATTAGCACACGTTATTAATGTAAATTTGAACCCTACTAGTCCACGGTTTTAGCGTGTGAACTACGCTTGTACACATGGTGTGTTTAAACGTGAAGCTATTTAATTCAGGACATTCTAGGGACTTAAAATATGGATGCACTTAACTATTAGATGCTAGTGTTTACTAATTCTTTAAAATCTATCGAATGGGATTAATTATAGGGTCGTATTACTACAGTTTATTTGGACTATCACGTCAAAATTATGAATCGACAAATTCAAAATGGCCACCAGACAAGCCTGGTTACTATGTGGACGAACTCAATTATTTACAGGGAACGAAGGTTAAATACTTATAAAATATTAATGAAATACAAAAGAAATGTATAATTATAATAACTATACATTTTTATCGATTTATTTAAAACAAAAGACACTAAATTTTAAGGACTAATGTGATTAATTTTTTTATATTCTGTTGTGTACTCTGATTCTGATTCCCCTGCTAAATAATGTGAAATGGTCTGCGCCAGTCTCCGTAATAAAATGTACCAGATCAATTTTTAGATGGTGGTGCAATTTGTTAAGATTCTACATGTTGTGACTTAGTTTTAAATGTTATATTAGTTGTAAGTGTAAGTAGTACTAGTAGTATTTCTCATTATTTATTTATTTTATATGCATATAATAGTAACAATGAAGGACAGTTAAGTTGTCCTATAGGATGTTGAGAACCACAGTATGGCATCTTCATCATTGGATATCTCAACCAGTGTCGGCAGTGTGGCACAAGCAACGAATATTTCAAATTTCATTCAGTAGAATTACTCTTAAAAATATATATAAAGTATAAATTATTTTTAACAAAAAGGTGTTTCAGGCTTTTTCATATGTTTCCAGTTATAGTCATAGGACAAATAGTAGGCCTACACACTAGGCTAGTAGTAAATTTAATTATATTTTATTAATCACTAAATCAATTGTTTATTCCATAGCTGGAGACATTTACGATGGCCTATCCAGAACTTTCCTTACAAGGGAAGGGAAGAAGGCCAAGACCCCACTCCCCCCTACTATTCCCAAAACATATTACTTACTCTTGATGCTCCACAAGATCAAGGTTGAGGGAAACCAGACGTACAAAGATGTGGAGTTGTAGTTTTAAAAACTGTTCCCCCAAAGCAGTTATCAACCGGATAGGTTTGAAAAGAAACCAAAGCATGTGGCATCAACTGCTGCATCACTTGTAGGCATCACGTCTTTATTAAACTACATTACATTACATTTACTGGTGACAGGACAAATGATCTCAGGACAAATGATCTCAGACAAAATATCTCAGACAAAATATCTCACGGACAAATGATCTCAAGACAAATGATCTCAGGACAAATGATCTCAAGGACAAATGATCTCACGGACAAAAGATACCAGGACAAAATATATCAAGACAAATGATACCACGGACAATTGATCTCAGACAAAATATCTCAGACAAAATATCTCACAACTAAATTTTAATAGTGTATTGGATGATTTTAATTGATCTGAATTTTTTTTTTATTGACTCTCTTATCGTTTTGTTTACTATGTTTAACATTGTTTATAGGCCTCTATAGTAATTGTAAGAAATGTTTGCCGTATAAATTTGTCATATTGCACTAAACATTTTAAGGTTAGTATTAGTAATATAGTATACCAAGATTAAAGAAATAATTTCGAAAGACAGCGTAGGTGTGCTTGTCAAACGTGAGACAATTCTACCACGTCAGGTGGACGAAACTAGATCAAAGGGGATGAAATAACAATAAAGACACACCTTCGTATCAAGGTGGCCGCTCGCTTTGATGGCAGAGACATGCCTTAAGGGAAAGACATCCGCACTCCATGGACAATACGACTAGCTTTTCAAGTCCATTGTTATGCTTCGGTCACACCTTAGAGATCAGGTGACAAATGCTTATTTAAAAGACAGCGGTCATCGCGAAGCTAAGTATGTCGTAGTGTGCATCAAACAAAGCAGTATTAATGGTGATTGCTTTGATATGGTCTCTTTCGTTACCTCGCAGAAAAATATTAGGACATTAGTTTCTGGTGAATGTATGTTTGCCATTTGGAAATGTGAAATTAGGACATGTCCAGCAAGAGTTCACACAATAGATGATCACATAGTATTGGAGAGGTGTGATCATAACGATGTACCTACCAGTAAAGAAACTTACACTTTATGTTTGTATTGATGATGTAATAAAAACAATAGTTTAACGTTACGAACCTTCAGACCCATTCACATTTTTGAAAGATATTTCGCGTGATATGAACATTAATGTTGTATAGCTACCGTTACTTTATATGTTTTATACCTTTGAGGCTAAAAGACAAAGTTTGTTTTAATTTTTACTTTTTCAAATCAAATGCTACTACAATTTTTTAATACACCTTTGATGGTTTGTTAGGTTAACTAATTCATTTTATTCACAATTATTATACTCAAAAAAGTAAACAAAACCATATTAACAGTCAATAAAAAAAGTTCAACTAAAATCATCGAAATACTATTAAAATTTCCCTGTGAGATATTTTGTCTGAGATATTTTGTCTGAGATCATTTGTCCATGATATCATTTGTCCTGATATATTTTGTCCTGGTATCTTTTGTCCGTGAGATCATTTGTCCTTGAAATCATTTGTCTTGAGATCATTTGTCCTGAGATCATTTGTCCGTGAGATATTTTGTCTGAGATATTTTGTCTGAGATCATTTGTCCTGAGATCATTTGTCATGGAACCCATTTACTCTACTAAATTTTGATTCTGTTTCTCCTGCACTAGATAACTGTGGTATTTTTTAAAATAATATTTTAACTCATGTGATTTTTGAAAATAATTAACACATTTTTCCACGTTGATGTTACCAACACAATAGTTTTAGAGTTATTCCAAAGCAAAAAAAAAAAATTGAATTTTTTTTTTTTATGAAAATAAAAGTGACCAAAACGTATTTTTGTCATTTCCAATTATTTTTTTACCTTAGAAAGACTCATTTTAGATGACTGAAAAAAATTGGGCATATATATTACAAACTTCGCAGCAACTTTACCAATTTCTACACTTCTATGTTATTTAGTTTAAAAAATATGGGTTCTCAAAAATGGCACTTTTTGAAAATCACTTTTTTACCAAATTTTGCTTTTTTAAAAATCGCATAACTTTTTTATTTATTGAGATATTTTTATAAAATTTGTGGCATAGACCTTACAATTAAAAGTTATTTCATGACATACTCACTCCAGAAGTCTGCAATCAATAGTTAATTTCAGTTTGGACTACCTACTACTATTCCACACTAGAATACACGTATTATCATGTTCAATATGGTGCGCAATAGTTTTTAGTCAAGAAACTCTATTGTATTTTGTTTTAATCTTAGTTATATTTAAAGAAAATTATGTATTTTCGCCTTTTAATTTTAAGTGCATTATTACATTATAAGCTTGTTATTAAAACGTTTTATGCTTTTTTTAACAAGCTTTAAACTTGCTTCCTCTGCCTAATTATATATCTGTCGTCATGTATCGAAGCTGCCGAACGAAACTTCGATCACTTCTAACTCACCGATTCGTTTTGAACTTGGCACGTGGGTCAATCTAACATCAAATTTGACTTAATTTAATTTTTAAAGAATTAAAGTTTTCTAGATTGTACGTACATTTTTCGGGTTCATTTAATATACTAAACATTTTAAAATACTGAAGTAAAATTCATAAACAACGTTTAATAACACGCTTTACATAATTATGCACTAAAAAGTAGAGAAAAAAATGATTTCCTTTGAATCTCTAATAATGCACTACACTACTATTCAAACAACTATAACGATTAGCGTAGGTCACTATGTTATGTTTTGAAATCTTGACTAAAATTTAAGAAGCGACCTGCGCTTTTCTTTTAATTTACTTAAATTGTGGTGCATTATTATATATTTCAAGAAAATAATTTATGTTCTTCTTTTTAGTTCATAATTATATTAAAGGTTGTTATTAAAATGTTTTTAATGAGTTTTTAAATTTTATTTTGGCGTTTCTTGAAAAACATTTTTTGAGAGCAACAAATGTTCTAGTTGACATCTTATTGTATTGTTCACTTGTGATGTGACATCGTTAACATAATTGTGACGGTAACATAATTGTGACGGTAACATAATTGTGACGGTATTATAATTGTGACGGTAACATAATTGTGACGGTAACATAATTGTGACGGTAACGTAATTATGAGGGTAACGTAATTGTGACGGTAACGTAACTGTGACGGTAACGTAATTGTGACGGTAACATACCTGTGACGGTAACATAATTGTGACGGTCACATAAATGTGACGGTAACATAATTGTGACGGTAACGTAATTGTGACGGTAACGTAACTGTGACGGTAACGTAACTGTGACGGTAACATAACTGTGACGGTAACATAATTGTGACGGTATTATAATTGTGACGGTAACGCAATTGTGACGGTAACGTAATTGTGACGGTATTATAATTGTGACGGTAACGCAATTGTGACGGTAACGTAATTGTGAGGGTAACATAATTGTGACGGTATTATAATTGTGACGGTAACGTAATTGTGACGGTAACGTAAATGTGACGGTAACATAATTGTGACGGTAACATAATTGTGACGGTAACGTAAATGTGACGGTAACATAATTGTGACGGTAACATAACTGTGACGGTAACGTAATTGTGACGGTAACATAATTGCGACGGTAACGTAATTGTGACGGTAACGTAATTGTGACGGTAACATAATTGTGACGGTAACGTAATTGTGACGGTAACGTAATTGTGACGGTAACGTAATTGTGGAATGTTCCCCAACAGCGCAGGCGGGTCTTACAGTGGACAGCCCCCCTACCCCCCACACGGAGGTGTCCCTGGAGCTTATCCACCCGGTGTGGTGCCACCACCCCAGCCTGGGTATCCACCCCAGCAGGGGGCGCCCCCAGGTAAGAGGCCACACTGTCAATGTCCTGTCACTGTGCTGTCACTGTGTGTGTGGTGACCCATGACCTTAACCTTGTCGTTGCTAGGTGGCGCCCCGCCCATGAAGGACATCCCCCACGACGCCATAGCTGACCCCAACGAAGACCAGATGGCCTCAGCGCCCCCCGCCGAGCTGATGGAGAGTCTACCGGGCTACTCTAACGTCGGCTACCAGGGAGGTCAGTCACGTTACACCTTTCGTGGACTGACTAAATTAGTCACGTGACAAACGTACTAGACTGAATAAATTAGTCGCGCGACACCCTTAGTGTTCTGATTAAATTATTCACTTAGCAAACGTACTAGATTGACTAAATTAGTCACGCGAAAAACGTACTAAACTGACTAAATTAGTCACGTAGCAAACGAACTGAACTGGCTAAATTAGTTGACCTAAACGACAAGTCATTAGCCATTTGTTGTGTTCCAGCCATGCTGCCCCCGCCCACATACCAGGAGGCCGTGCAGGAACCACAGGACCGGCAGCTCATTAGGAGGTAGGTGTTACAGCCGGACATTTCGGCCGGAAGCAGTGTTTTTCCAGACTTTTATCTCCGGGGTGGGGGGCTAAAATTTTCGGGGGGGGGGGGGGGGGCAGACGCTGTTATTAAAAGTATATATTTTCTATGCAAATTCCATTTCGTTCGGGAGGGGGGCAAAGCCGGACATTTCAGCCAAACAACCTACCACAACAACCTAATCAGTAATACAACAACCAAATATAACAACCATCGTGTGAAGACTAGCAAGATCGAACAACCAACTAACCACTACCTCCCCGCCCCACCCACAGCAACCACGCCGTGACAGAAGAGCAAGCTAGGGAGGCGCTGCTGCAGTTTGTGGCTGAGCACTGCTGCTACGGCAAGAAACCCGCGCAGATGATGAGAATCAACGAGCTCCAGTCGTCGTCTGCCCTACATGTGAGTCAGACGTCACGGACCTTTAGGGTGACCTTGACACCATAATAGATTGACCTTCAGACCTACATAGGATGGCCTTCAGACATTCACAGGGTGACCTTCAGAAATTCAAAGGTTGACTTTCATACATTAACAGGGTGACTTTCAGATCATCATAGAGTGACCTTCAGACCACAATAGGTTGACCTTCAGACCTACACATGGTGACCTTCAGACCGTCAGGGCGTGACCTCAAGAGCGTCATGGCGTGACCTTCAGAGCGACATATGGGTAGCATTGACCATTGGCATTAAGACTGATGAGAATTGTAAAGTTACTTGAAATTTAACCTGCGCTTAATCTGTTATTCTCCCCCACCCCACCCCCAGTACACCCTTGAAACTTTCGGTGAAGGCCGCTCGACCAAGTGGACGTGCAAGCCGTACATGGGGGAGGGGCTGGTGGTGACGGGCCCACCCCCGGGGCCCTGGGACATCCAAGCCCAGCCGCCACAGATGTTCCAGACAAGCAAGGTCAAGGTTGAGGTGCCCAACACGGCCTCCATCAAGGTGAGGGTCACCTTCTGACATGTAACTATCACGTGACCAGATGTCATATGTCAACTGGCGGGCTCATGTCAGCTGTTGACATGTAAACCTGTGTCATAACCTCATAATCAAATGTAATCTGTCCATATTTTGGTCCAGCTAGTTGGCTTCTGATACCAAATGTCATCTTATAACATATGTGATTTTATTTTGTCATGTGTCATCTGGCGATATAAAGCGAGCTACTGTGTCATATAGTTACACTATTTCAGTGGCTGTCATATAAATGTCATGTAACACCTTTATATTTCAGTGGCTGTCATATAAATGTCATGTAACATCTTTATATTTCAGTGTTTGTCATATAAATGTCATGTAACATCTTTATATTTCAGTGGTTGTCATATAAATGTCATGTAACATCTTTACAGTGTTTGTCATATAAATGTCATGTAACATCTTTATATTTCAGTGGTTGTCATATAAATGTCATGTAACATCTTTACAGTGTTTGTCATATAAATGTCATGTAGCACCTTTATATTTCAGCCTTGTCATCGATGTGGAGCAAGAGGCTACAAGTACTGCTACAGCTGCATGGGGGTGGGGAGGGTAAGTTGTGGGGGTGGGGAGTGTAAGTTTAGGGGTAGGGAAGGTAAGTTGTAGGGGGTGGGGAGGGTAATTTGTAGGGGTGGGGAGGGTAAGTTGTAGGGGTGGGGAGGGTAAGTTGTAGGGGTGGGGAGGGAAAGTTGTGGGGGTGGGGAGGGTAAGTTGTGGGGGTGGGGAGGGTAAGTTGTAGGGGGTGGGGAGTGTAAGTTAAGGGGTAGGGAAGGTAAGTTGTAGGGGGTGGGGAGGGTAATTTGTAGGGGTGGGGAGGTTAAGTTGTAGGGGTGGGGAGGGAAAGTTGTGGGGGTGGGGAGGGTAAGTTGTGGGGGTGGGGAGGGTAAGTTGTGGGGGTGGGGAGGGTAAGTTGTGGGGGTGGGGAGGGAACGTTGTGGGGGTGGGGAGGGTAAGTTGTGGGGGTGGGGAGGGTAAGTTTTGGGGGTGGGGAGGGTAAGTTGTGGGGGTGAGGAGGGTAAGTTGTGGGGGTGGGGAGGGTAAGTTGTGGGGGTGGGGAGGGTAAGTTGTGGGGGTGGGGAGGGTAAGTTGTGGGGGTGGGGAGGGTAAGTTGTAGGGGTAGGGAGGGTAATTTGTAGGGGTAGGGAGGGTAAGTTGTGGGGGTGGGGAGGGTAAGTTGTAGGGGTAGGGAGGGTAATTTGTGGGGGTGGGGAGGGTAAGTTGTGGGGGTGGGGAGGGTAAGTTGTAGGGGTAGGGAGGGTAATTTGTAGGGGTAGGGAGGGTAAGTTGTAGGGGTAGGGAGGGTAATTTGTAGGGGTAGGGAGGGTAACTTGTGGGGGTAGGGAGGGTAAGTTGTGGGGGTGGGGAGGGTAAGTTGTGGGGGTGGGGAGGGTAAGTTTAGGGGTAGGGAGGGTAAGTTGTAGGGGGGTGGGGAGGGTAAATTGTGGGGGTGGGGAGGGTAAGTTGTAGAGGGTGGGGAGGGTAAGTTGTAGGGGGTGGGGAGGGTAAGTTGTGGGGGTGGGGAGGTAAAGTTGTAGGGGGTGGGGAAGGTAAGTTGTAGGGGTGGGGAGGGTACGTTGCAGGGGGTGGGGAGGGTAAGTTGTAGGGTGGGGAGGGTACGTTGTAGGGGTAGGGAGGGTAAGTTGTAGGGGTGGGGAGGTAAAGTTGTAGGGGTGGGGAGGGTAAGTTGTAGGGAGGGGAAGGTAAGTTGTAGGGGTGGGGAGGGTAAGTTGCATGTGGGTGGGCATTTTAAATAATAAGTAAACTTTGACTGATGTGAACTTTGACCTCCGACCAGAAAATGTGCGTCTTCTGTGGGGGCTCGGGCAGGAGGAGCTACTACGAGAACGGTGAACACAGACACGGGCACTGTCACAGCTGTGTAGGAGGGTGGAGCACGTGAGTAGGGGAGGGGGTGGGACATGTGAGTAAAGGGGTGGGGTGGGGCATGTGAGGAGGGGAGATGGGGGAGCATGTGAGTAGAGAGGTGATGTGAGTAGTGGGGTAGGGGGCATGTGATGAGTGGGGGGTAGGGTGGGGCATGTGAGTACAGGGGTGGGGGGGCATGTGAGTAGTGGGGGGTAGGGTTTGGCATGTCAGGAGTGGGGTGGATGTAGGGTGGGGCATGTGAGTAGTGGGGGGGTAGGGTTGAGCATGTGACGAGTGGGGGTGGGGCATGTAAGTAGGGGGGTGTGGTGGGGGGTAGGGTGGGGCATGTCAACTAAAATGTAACTAGCTTTATACGATCTTAAAGTTACCACACCCGTTTCTATTTTTAGATGTTTCGTCTGCTCTGGGTCAGGTCAGCTGGTCTGCAGGACGTGTCAAGGTCGCGCCAACCTGCGCTGGTTCATCCAGCTGACCATCAAGTGGTAACTTGTGCTCATCACGTGACTAGCTTTAGACCAGTGGTCTAGTTGTTAGGGCTAGAGACAAAATAACACGCACAATGTAACCTTGACCTTGATCTTTGACTCTGGTGTTTCAGGACGAACCATCTTGACGACCACATCATCGAGCGTACGTCACTTCCGGACGAGTTGATCCGGACAGTGTCCGGACAAGTTGCCTTCGAGGAGACCTCGCCCCGGGTGAGTTGATTGTAAAAACTTACGGACATTTTAGACTGCGCTAAATCTCGACATTTTAGACTTCGCTAAATCCCGACGTTTTAGACTTCGGCAAATCTCGACATTTTAAACTTCGGCAAATCTCGATATTTTAGACTTCGGCAAATCTCGACATTTTAGATGTTTTACACCTTCCTGTCTAATCTCGACATAATAAATAGAATTCCAATTGTGATAAATTTGAATCGAGTAGTTTTGTCAGACTTTTGTATTTCTATAGCCCGATTGGTCAAATAATGATACCCTAAAATAACCCTTACTGACTTACTGGTAAATATTTTAGCCGTTATTAAACGAAAGAAACATGAAATTTAAAAAATTAAAACATTTAAAATTATAAACTTTTAAATGCAATGAAAAACAACTAGGTCGCTTATGAACTAGCAACATATGCTTTCACTAAAAATGAAATTCTTTTTTGTTTTACTGTTTAAAATTTTTAATACATTTAAATTGGGAATACTTATATTTATAAAGGTACTAGCCGTCCCTGCCAGGCCCTGCACTGGCCTCTGTGAAAAACCTATGACTTGTGTGTTTAGTAATCAGCATACACCCGGCATTGCACGGGTTTAGGAGATATATTACTTTTTGAATTAACCCTAACCAAACCAACCAAAAACAAAACACACAATAAAACCGCAAACATAACACAGACACAAACCCAACCCCAAATAAAAAGAAAACTTAAATGCTAACAAAAAAGCAAACACAAATACAAATAGAAACACAACCGCAAACCTAAACGCAAACAATAACTCAAAATAATGCAAATAAACGCAAACATAAAAACAAACTTAAATGCTAATATAAACGAAAAGTGCTCATGGTCTATCCCGGAGCGCAAAAGCGCACAATGCTGGGACGCCGGCGGAACCGCCTGATTCAACTTAGTAAACGACTATATTACCCCAACTTATTCATAATCTTTTTCACTCACTTAAACGAACGTAGGCACCATAGCTAACACGGGAAGGCCCGGGGCGCCAAATAACACCCTGTCGGGGTGCCAGAGGACGCCCGGATTCGATTCAGTTAAAGACTATATTAACCTTCCATATCCATAATCTATTGCACTGTAATATTTTTTAAAGGGAAGTAATTTATCAAGGGAGGTAATGAGTTCTAAAGGACTAAAATCAAATAACTGTCAGACACAATTAGAATTTTTGTGAAGGGTGATACATTTTCTTTAATTTTGTTTAATGCACATGCCGTCAATTAACACTATAAGTTTGGAAAATGAAATTTGTTTTATAACACCTTCAACATTAATTGTTTATATCGTTGATTTAGATGATGAGCACTTTAGATATATCACACTATGGCGATCAATTCTTTTTTTTTTTTTTGCTATATTCCTTTGTAATCACGGGTCTTTCCGTCGGCTGTACTGTATGTGTGTCTGTTTGTTTGTCTTTTAAGAATTACTACACCTTGCATCCGATCGCCATGAAACTTTGCAAAGTTGTTGAGAATACTCCTTGGGAGGTTTATTCGAAAAAAATATCTAATTCGTAGGGGCGCCCCTGCAGGGCGAGATTCAATTATTCTTTATATGCGGTTTATAAAAACAAAAGTCGATTGCAGGGGAGATTTCTGTAAAACAATTTTTTTTTTTTAAATTTCGCAAGGGCGGCGCCCCTGGAGGTTGCGAATTTTCTCTATATACTATATACGGTACCATGAAACTTTGGGGAGAAGAGAATACTCCGGAGATGATTTCTGCGGAAAAAAAAATTTCTAATGGGCGGCGCGATTTTCGTGAATACATGGTTTGGCGCCCAGAGTTCCAGAGTGGCTACATTAGCACTTGGCATCCGTTAATTGGGCGTCCTGCATTATGGATAAGGGGTACTACTATATTCGGCGTTAAGACTGCAACAGGCGCAACCACAGACGCCCTTTAGATTGCGCGACCCGAAGCGTCCTAGTGCGGTACGGATAAGATGGGGCGTTTAGGTCGTTCACTAAATTGAATCAGGCGCGTCCGCCGAAGCCCCGGTAGGGTGCTTTTGCCCCCGACTGTCATTGGACTTTCTTCAAATTCCGCGGCAACCCGCGGGAACGGGCACGCTAGTATTTTATAACATGTCAAATCTGCCAACCAGAAGCCGGTTGGTAGGATCTAATGTTGATCTAATGTTGATCTGATGTTGATCTAATGTTGATCTAATGTTGATCTAATGTTGATCTGATGTTGATCTAATGTTGACCTAATGTTGATTTAATGTTGATATGATGTTGATCTGAAGTTGATCTGATGTTGATCTAATGTTGATCTGAAGTTGATCTGATATTGATCTAATGTTGATCTAATGTTGATCTAATGTTGATCTGATGTTGATCTGATGTTGATCTATTGTTAATCTAATGTTGATCTAAAGATGATCTAATGTTGATCTAATGTTGATCTAATGTTGATTTAATGTTGATCTAATGTTGATCTGATGTTGATCTATTGTTTATCTAATGTTGATCTAAAGTTGATCTGATGTTGATCTAATGTTGATCTGATGTTGATCTAATGTTGATCTAATGTTGACTTAATGTTGATCTAATGTTGATCTAATGTTGATCTGATGTTGATCTAATGTTGATATGATGTTGATCTCATGTTGATCTAATGTTGATCTAATGTTGATCTGATGTTGATCTCATGTTGATCTGATGTTGATCTGATGCCCTAGGTGTGGCCAGTCAACCACTTCCCCGAGCAGGAGATCAACGCCGCGTCTAACACGCTGGTCAGCAGACATGGCTCAAGCTTTGGGGGGGAGCGGATTTTGATGCAGGTAACACATCACGTGACTTATCAGGTAACATCACGTGACAGATCAGGTAACATCACGTGACTGACCAGGTAACTCATCCCGTGAAAGACCAGGTAACTTATCACATGACTGATCAGGTAACTCATCACGTGACTGACCAGGTAACTCATCACGTGACAGACCAGGTAACTTATCACGTGACAGATCAGGTAACTTATCACGTGACTGATCAGGTAACTCATCACGTGACAGATCAGGTAACTCATCACGTGACAGATCAGGTAACATCATGTGACAGACCAGGTAACTCATCACGTGACAGACAAGGTAACTCATCACGTGACAGATCAGGTAATTTATCACGTGACAGACCAGCTAACTCATCACGTGACAGATCAGGTAACTTATCACGTGACAGACCAGGTAACTCATCACGTGACATATTAGGTAACTCATCAGGTGACTGACCAGGCAACTTATCACGTGACAGATCAGGCAAATTTGATCGTTAAGTATCTTTAACCATACTGTTGTTGAAAGATGTCACCAGTCTGTCATGACACCTGTGACAGGTCTGCCATGACACCTGTGACAGGCCTGCCATGACACCTGTGACAGGCCTGCCGAGACACCTGTGACAGGCCTGCCACCGATGTGTCCACAGAGACACCGTGTGCGCGTCATCCCAGTGACGCAGGTGTCCTACAGCTACAAGGACAAGGCTGACTCCTACTTCGTGTACGGCTTCGAGCACAAGGTCTACGCCCCTGACTACCCCGCCAAGTGTTGCTGTTGTAGTGTCCTGTAGCTGGCGTTGGTCCAGTGGTCAAGTGTTGCTGTTGTAGTGTCTTGTAGCTGGCGTTGGTCCAGTGGTCAAGTGTTGCTGTTGTAGTGTCTTGTAGTTGGCGTTGGTCCAGTGGTCAAGTGTTGCTGTTGTAGTGTCTTGTAGCTGGCGTTGGTCCAGTGGTCAAGTGTTGCTGTTGTAGTGTCTTGTAGCTGGCGTTGGTCCAGTGGTCAAGTGTTGCTGTTGTAGTGTCTTGTAGCTGGCGTTGGTCCAGTGGTCAAGTGTTGCTGTTGTAGTGTCTTGTAGCTGGCGTTGGGCCAGTGGTCAAGTGTTGCTGTTGTAGTGTCTTGTAGCTGGCGTTGGTCCAGTGGTCAAGTGTTGCTGTTGTAGTGTCTTGTAGCTGGCGTTGGTCCAGCGGTCAAGTGTTGCTGTTGTAGTGTCTTGTAGCTGGCGTTGGTCCAGCGGTCAAGTGTTGCTGTTGTAGTGTCTTGTAGCTGGCGTTGGTCCAGTGGTCAAGTGTTGCTGTTGTAGTGTCTTGTAGCTGGCGTTGGGCCAGTGGTCAAGTGTTGCTGTTGTAGTGTCTTGTAGCTGGCGTTGGTCAAGTGTTGCTGTTGTAGTGTCTTGTAGCTGGCTTTGGTCCAGTGGTCAAGTGTTGCTGTTGTAGTGTCTTGTAGCTGGCGTTGGTCCAGTGGTCAAGTGTTGCTGTTGTAGTGTCTTGTAGCTGGCGTTGGTCCAGTGGTCAAGTGTTGCTGTTGTAGTGTCTTGTAGCTGGCGTTGGTCCAGTGGTCAAGTGTTGCTGTTGTAGTGTCTTGTAGCTGGCGTTGGGCCAGTGGTCAAGTGTTGCTGTTGTAGTGTCTTGTAGCTGGCGTTGGTCCAGTGGTCAAGTGTTGCTGTTGTAGTGTCTTGTAGCTGGCGCTGGTCCAGTCGTCACGTGACCAGCTAGACGCTGCGGTTTGGAACTATGCAATAATTCACATCAAACACATTCACACAGACATCACATCAAACACATTCACAAAGACATTACATCAAACACATTCACATTCTACCAACTCAACATTGTAGGCCTACATTGTTCACAATAATGGTAAAGATATTTCATACAATTAATGTTTGTGGTTAATTTTTTTCGTACAACCATCATACGCCTTTAATTAACTTTAAGTTGATATGGAAACCAAATGACCTACATTGAATAAACGAATATTTTTTGTTATAATATTGTTTAATTAATATTGTTTAATTAATGCCTTACCTGTTGCTGTGAGGTGAACAAATGTTGTGTGCAAGCCCCCCCCCCCCCCCCCCATGTGGCCCCAACTCACCAGATGGCAGGCGAGTTTTCAACACAGCCGTGCGAAAACTCCGGGCGGAAAGACAAATGGCATAATGAAACCGAGAAACTAGGCGGTAACGCAAAAAAGACGTGGAGGCTTATCGCAGGGTTAGAGGGTTGCGGAACCGACAGGTCCCTGGCCTCACTCCGCACCGACTCAAAGGTCGCATCATCGGACAAGGATTCTGACGCAATCCTTAACGAATACTTCGCCGCAGCGAGCGAAAGTATCAAACCCTGTGAACGAACAGAAGAGGTAGAGGGCCTATTGAAAACGGCGGAGACGGTGGAGCCGGCGGTCACCGACCCCCTCTTTAGCTCCCCTATTACGATGTCAGAACTACAGCGTGCCCTGAAAAAAAGCAAAAAATGGCAAGGCACCAGGACCCGACCTGGTGTCGAACGATATGCTTAAACAGCTGGGGGCGGAAAGTAGGAAGCGTTTACTTGCCCTGATCAACCGTTCATGGTAGCTTTGCGTACTCCCAACCAGTTGGAAAAAAGCAGTAGTGGTAGCACTGCCCAAATTGGGTAAGGACTTAAGCTCACCTGCGGGCTACCGTCCAATCTCCCTCTGCTCCAACAGGGGGAAACTCATGGAGCGACTGGTAAATGGACGGTTGTACTGGTACCTTGAGCAGAATAAAATAATAGATCCTGCCCAATGCGGCTTCCGTAGAGGTAAGCAGCCCATGGACTCCATTCTCCGGTTGATTAAATAGATCATCAGTGGCTTTCATGCAAAAAAGAGCACATACGCGGTGTTCTTCGATGTAAAGCAGGCTTACGATAAGGTATGGCGAACTGGTCTACTGTTTAAACTCAGGAAAATCTGCAAGCTGTACCGGTGGTTAAAGGACTTCCTAGGAGAACGTGAAATATGCACCAGAGTCGGAGCAGACCGATCTGGCAGAGCAAAAATAACTAGAGGTCTACCACAGGGATCAGCCCTGAGCTGCACGCTGTTCCTGATCTTTATTAACGATCTTGCTCGATACATCGACGGTGGCAAGGGGCTTTTCGCTGATGACCTGTCGACGTGGGTCAAGTGTACCCTGGTGAACGTGGCACAGCAGAGGGCCCGTCTCCAAAGCAACTTAGATCGCATCTCAAAGTACTGCCATGATTGGTTCTTAGAGATCAACACGGAAAAGACGGTTTATTCCCTTTTTAGCACCGGGACGTTTATCTTGAAAGAAGCGGTCAGCTTCATGGTTAAAATGGCCAAGTGCTTAGATGGGAAAAGCACCCAGTGTACCTTGGGGTACGACTGGACCAGAAGCTGACCCTGACTCAGCATATTAAGGATCTATGTGCGAAAATCTCAAGAAGGTTAAGCATTTTTAAAAAGGTGACCCATACCAGGTGGGGCGCGGATGCCCGGCTACTCAGGACCGCATACATCAGTTATGTCAGGGGAGCCATCGAGTATGGGCTTCCAATACTGGCCCATGCGAATAGGACTGCCCTCGAGTCTCTGGATAGAGTCCAGAACGAGGGGCTACGCCTAATTACCGGGGCGTACAAGACTACACCCGTCCAAGCCTGTGAAATAACAGCGAACGTTGAATCCCTGAAGTTCAGGAAAGAAAAGGCAATCTTAAAAAAGGTCGAAAGATTCGAGCGGCTCGACGAGTTTGAGCTGTCACATGCCGTCCTGGCTGAAGGAAGGGTGCGACTCAAACGACAAAGCTTCGCAGGGGCTGCAAGAAAAGCATAAAATGCCGACGAATCGGGCAAAACTAAGTACAGTGATTAATAGAATATGATAAAATTTACTACTAGTACTAGCCTATTGTGGAGGCCTACTACTTGTCCTATAACTGGAAACATGAAAAAGCCCGAAAACACTTTTTGTTAAAAGTAATTTATACCCGATAGTGCACTTACATAATATTATATCTTTAATATTAGGTCTACTGAATGAAACATTCGTTGATTGTTCCACACTGGTTGAGATATCCAATGATGAAGGTGTCATACTGTGGTTCTCAACATTCTATAGGACAACTTAACTGTCCTCCATTGTTACTATATGCATCTATGTATATGTTACGGTCAAAGCCCGAAGTCTGCCAATGCGCGCATAGGCCAATATTGCTTCCCATTAACCGGTCAAAGTCCGAAACTTTGCTTGATTTCGGCCTTTGGCCGGCCAATCCGCGGACTGGCCATGATGGACCGGCCAAAGACTGAATTAGAAGATCATCTGGCTAGGGACGACTAGCCTAAGTCCGAATTAAAAGATAATGAGCAGATTTTATGTTTTTTTTAATACCGTAAGGATCATAAAATTAAGTCTTTATTGATTATTCATTGAAGTAAATGACAGAAACATTCAAATTTTTTATTGTACTATAGTCTCAATCAATCAATATTATCACTTGTTACAACAAGTTGAACTTTTATGGCATTTAGAATTACATAGTAGCTTGTTATTTTTATACTTGCAGCGATTTGTTGTGCACTTAGTTGTGCAATTGCAGCGAGTGTAGCCTTGACCGCATTGTGAAGATGCGATGGTTCGTAGTGATTTTTCCTCAGTGTCAACTGACGACAATAAGAGCAGTTTTTCGTGAAGAATTGAAAACTCACTTCTAGCATACAGTTGTTTTAGAACACCTTGTTCCGTTCCTGACTTGTAGAAAGTGCCCTCAATGCTCATGACAACTGCAATGACACTTCAGGGATCACCGCGACCTCTGTCAACATGTGGTATATGGATGCGTACATTGTCACCCACTTCAACGGTGATGGGTCTGCTTCATTTGGTATTCCCCTTTTGTTGGCGAAATATGGTTTCTGACGCTATTGTTCAACTTACAAGGGTAGCATCGAACGCGGCAAAGTCTTTTGAACGTTCCGTCTTGTTGCACGTGGTCGGTGACGACGACCGTCTTTGATTTTATTTTTTTTATGATTGTCTCACCTCGCCATCATGGAGGAGGATATCACATACAGTTGTAGCCCATGTATGGAAACTAACATGGATTTACATGTTTTTCTTTTGACAGCCATCTGCTATGTCTGTCTCATGGTCTGACGGCCCTTTTGGTCCATGTCCCCTTGCAAATAGAATGCTATACAAACAAGAGCCAAACAATACGTTACTCACAATGAAACCGCACCCAGAATAATGAAAACTCGATCACAACTTAGTCTAGATAGAACATTGGCCAGGACGTCCCGGCCAGTGCGCGCATTGGCCGGCCAAATACGAAATACGCTCTTAGTGCTAAGTTCTTCGGGCTTTGGCGCACTTCGGGCTTTGACCGTAACATATATAATTCTCTTCATGGGGACTATGCGAGACACCACGTTAACGCACGCCGTTACTCCCCCGCTCTCTAGGCATATACCTACCACACCCACCAGTCTGGTGAGCTGTGGTTAACACTTAATGTTTACAATGTGACGGCTATTAGGGGCAGATAATTTAGTTTTTATACGATTTGAAACTAAGGGGAGGTAATAACAAGTTCTGCTTGATCTTTTCACTGTCGTCTGTAACTTGTCGTCACGGACGGCTGCTTTCAAGGGGGGTGGAGAGAGAGTAGAAAGTGAGGGTGAGGATAATCGTCCTTCACGGGCTACTGATAGTGTTTGAAAACATTTTCAGTCGCAGCACTGGTAGTGTCGAATTCACAAATTATGAATTATTGAAAAATAGAAAGTAAAACAACTAAATAGCGGTGTATGCTACGTCGCGGGTCAGCTCGTATAAAATGATTAAATAATGAGAAACACTACAAGTACTACTTACACTTAAATCTAAAATAACATTTAAAACCAAGTCACAACATGTACAATCTTAATAAATTGCACCACCATCTAAAAATTGATCTGGTACATTTTATTAAGGAGACTGGCACAGACTATATCACATTATTCAGAAGGGGAATCAGAAAGCACAACAGAAAGTAAAAAACAAACCGGGAGTGATCTCCCCAAAACGTTCTCGAATATTCTTATATAACACTACGGGGGATGGGAACTCGGGATATAGACAATATTTTTAATCCATTTTTAATTACTTAAACTTTTTAAAAATAGAATAGAATCTCGTAGAAAAAAGAATTGCACACCAAGTTAA